ATTTTTAAGAAGAGCGACAATTGCATCCCCTTTTCCTCGAACCCTCAATTGAGCCACCACTGTAAATGGTTGGAAATTCAATGAGTTAAACGTTTTAGAGCAGATTGCAAACCAATATCAGAAACAACAGTCTAAGGCAGCAACCATTTGAATCGGATTGGGGACAGGAAGTTTTTTTTAAGTTTTGCTTTCGAAAAATGAAAAAAAGAATTGTTTGCACCAAGATTTTAAAAAAGAATGTGCTTGTTAAAAACAAATTTACTTGGAGGACAGTACAAATATCGGACACCCCCCTTCCCGAAAATCAAATGATTGCTCCTTTATACATAAATGCAAGGGAAGCAACAAAGCCTTAAGTTTCTAATGTTAGCTTTGTTTTCTGGTATGATGCTAGTATACTCTTTTGAGTTTTTTGTTGATTAACTATGCTTGGATTGTCTATAACCCGTCACATTAATAAAAAAATATTTGCGACATCGAACTATTTGTGAAATGCTTTCTTTATTTTGTGTCAACATAGTAAGATTATTACACAATTCAATATTTTATAATAAACAGGCCTTTCACAATTTAATCACAGCAATCTATTTGTAGTAATAAAAATAAACTTAAAAATGTATTCCTCAATACTTTTACTTATATATTGACATTAAAATCATACGGGTCAGTCCGACTTATAGAGCATTACGCTAATTGCTGAATAGGACGTTAAAACCCCCTATATGGATCCATACTGGGTCATAGTACATAGTTGGAATGGAAAGTGTAGGCGAGGTTGCCTAACGAGGTTATTGTTTTTTTTTAATGAAAACATAAAAGAATATAGCAGGGTCTGGATGGGGGGTCCTACATTTCTGTATTCTTTAATTTTTAGACCATTTTTCTCTATTCTTTGTATTTTTTGACCATTATTTTCTATTCTTTATATTTTAGCACCTCATTATTCTCTATTCTTTATTTTTTGGTTCATTTTTCTATATTCTTTATATATTTTTGCCCATTATTCTCTTTTCTGTAAACCCCATCCACACCCTCATGTACTGTTCAATATAATACTTCCATGATCCAATTGACTGTATATACATTTATATATCCCAACAACGTTAGATCCTCAAAAACTGCGCTAGCATTAGCAAATTTTGTTATCCCCTCAGCGGGATTCGAACCCCTGATTTTGTGACATCGTGACAACACCGCTTGTGTCCAGCGCCTATAGACCACTCGACCAACTAGGCTATATAAAATACAGCTTTCGTTAGTCGAGTAACGGCTTTATCTAGAGCTGTAACACAGTAAATGATGTATAGTGGTAAGTAGACGGTGTACCTTTCAGATCAGCTATGTATATATATGTTCTGTCTGTCGTTAAGAATGATATCCCGATACTACAAAATAATTACTATATCCGTTTTAAACAATAATTCTGCTTTCTTTTCAAAATTATAAATGACTTAAATTCAATTAAATAAAGACTTCTGATTTGTGAGTTTCTATACTTTTATGATACATGTATCATTTATATGTATTTAAATGTCAAAATATAAACACAATAAACCCCTAAATATCGACGTCAATGATTATAAGAATAAGAAGATGTGGTATAATTGCAAACGAGACACCTCTCCACCAGAGATCAAATAACATAGAAGTTAACAACTATAGATCACCGTTCGGACTAAAAAATGAGCAAAACCAAAACCGCATAGAAGATATAAATCGCCCCGAAATGACAAATGTAAAAAATAATTTAAAAGCTAATAATATCCATATTGTGACATTGTAGGTGTTGTCTCGATATCCCGGCGAGGGAGGAACAAAAATTTGCTTCCGCAAATTTGCAGATTTTACATTGTTGTGCTGATATTTAGAGTAATTATAGATATTTATATATATATGTCTGCCTATGTGTAGTGACAACTGTAAATTATACCTTGTCCATCGGATTTCTTATGATTAAGAAATACCAGGCGTTAGAATATTTATAAAGTGCCTAGAAAATCAACCTAACAATGTTATGCGCAATGCTAGGCGGTGTTGTCGTAGAAGTATGAAGTGAAAAGTACAGGTTCCAGCCCCGGTCAGGGAGGAAGTAAAGAATCAGATCTACTCTAACATTGTTAGGTTGATTTTCCAGGCACTTTATATTTAAATATATATATATATATATATAGTTAATATTTATACTTATACTTTATAGTTAATATGTTCAACAAGCTATGTATATCATGAACAGTTGACATTAGATGAAGCAAAGTTGACCTTGGATGAAGCAAAGATGTCCTTAGATGAAGCAAAGATGTCCTTAGATGAAGCAAAGTTGACCGTAGATAAATTTGGCTATTCCTTTTAGGTCTCTTTTTGTCATTTAGCTTCTCGCGCATTTAGATATTGACACATCCTTTGATTTAACATTTTGGGGTCTGGGCGTTTCTGAGAAAGCTATTTACAGAAAAGCACGTCGGACGCCCCAAAGAGGTAGGGCCATTGTCCCCATAATTTATTTCACACTACGCAGTCTAACCCAAGGAGATGTGGTTTGATTGCCAATGATACAGCTATCTAACAGAGTCCAAATGACGTAGATTAAAGCAGTTATAGTTCACCCTACGGCCTTCAGCAATGAGCAAAACCCATACCGTTTAGTCAGCTATATAAAACTCCGATGAGACTAAATGTGAAGCAATTCAAATAAAAAAACCGACGGCCTGATTTATGACAAAACTTAAAAACGATTACAGATATAACAGACAGCAACCTATGCCCAACAGTCACTGAATCATAGGTTCCTAAATTAGGACAGCCACATACAGAACGTTGACGGGTTATACATGTTAGTGAGCGATTAATCCTCCATCTTACCTTGGAGAATGGTGTAACAGCACAACATAAGAGTAAGGGCATTTTCAAAATTTCTTTTTTCAATCTTTACTTAAGTTTATAGTATCACAGCCCAATGTGTGAACATTACTTAGGGTTCCAACAATATTATGACTTATTTATAAATAAATCACCAAATAAGTAATTGAACGTTTGAAGATAGTCCAAAACCGCAATTTTGACAGATTTTGGCAAATTTTGAGAATTTATCCCAAAAATTTAAAAGAAGAACATAGTTATTCAGTTGAAAGCTATGCATAGTCTTTTTAGTACAAACTTGTTTAGCGACGTCTTTAGATGCAAAATTTGACAAAAACATATAAAATTTTGAATTTTGTACCATTATGCCTTCAAGAGCAACAAGTACCGCTGAATATAGCATTTTGATTTTATGTGAATTTAAAAAAAAAAAATCTGTAAATTATATACATTTTACTATTCTTTTCCAGAAGGATTTGACAGCTTTAAGATGTTGACCCTGTCAGTGAAATAAATGATGGGGAAATTTGCCATATACCTCTTTATAAAGAGTTATTTCTGATAGTGTTTTATTATTTGTTTTCATTATCTTTATTTAATTAGTCTCTTAGCACAAATCTAACTGAAAAGTTAAATGTTAATAAATATCGAAATGAATTTAATATGAACTTGTTTTGCGAAATAGAAAATAAGTTGAAAATATTCTCTTGTCCAGTCCAGTACGTGGACAAATGTCACGTTGAAACTAAATAAGTATTACTCAATACTGTTACTTCAGAAATGTACTGGCCTGAATACACAATCATTTCAGTCAAGTCATTTAATCAATGTAACCAAGGTAATATTTCCATTTTAATTAAGTTTTATTGTCCTTACTCATTTTAAAGATACTTGTTTACTTATGAAAGAAAACCGGCAGATAAATATTTTCTTTCCGATGATATCAAAACAATGTTTACGTTAAGACAGATAACTACCCTTCCAAGATTAACCCTGTACCAGCTGGGTCGTTTAAGCGCCAAATAAAACAGTTTTGGAATCTTTAAACAGTGGCAGCCGTTGAAGAACCTAAAACGCCCGCTAATTAAATTATTCTTAAATACACTGGATAATCTGTGGGTATATGTGTTAAAATGAATATCCTTCCAAAATTACCACTGGGTCAGCCAGGCTTCGCACCTGGAAACCTGATAAAGTATTCACCGCTCTACCAACTAAGCTAAAGGAGTATTCAATAGCGCTGTTAATGAATGGAGATTATATATTTACTACATTTCCAATGTCAAGCGCCGTAAGCAAATTCTAGTACACGTAATACGGATGAAGCACCTTTTACTATTCATTAAACGTTCCATTCAATCCGTAAATAATTATTTTTAAAAACCGTTTATTCTGGTTAAGTGGACTTTCCACAAATTTACCCCGACCTTATGTCACTTTCAATGAAAACAATTATCACCATGACTGAATGTAACAGTTTTATTAACTATTTATAGTCACAATAAGATCCAACTATTTCACCCATTCTTGACCTATAGAATAATACAGAGTAGTTATTAGCCCTGCGTCGTGCCTAGGGCCAATTACTAGCTAGTGCATAAGGGTAAGTCCGTATAAAAATAAGAAAATGTGGTATGATTGCCAATGAGACAACTCGCCTCCAGAAACCAAATGACATAGAAGTTAACAACTATAGGTCACCGTACGGCCTTCAACAATGAGCAAAACCCATACCGCTTATGCATAGTAAGCTATAATAGGCTCCAAAAGTCTATAAATAAACAAGCTAGGTAGGAACAAAGAGATGTTTTTTTTCCTAAAGCAGTTTACATTAACATACTGTACGTGCTTTTCGTGTGTTTTAGTGATCATGCAAATACCTTTTACGGAATCGGATACTGTGTTAAGCAGACAAGCGATTCATACAAACTGGTTATACAAGTTGTGGTAATGGTTCATTTACAGAAGGGTAAATTGTGCTCATTACCAAATGAATACTAACAAACTGTACGATTTCTATCAGAATCTCACAATGTTGATGTATCTATAGAAAATCTTCACAATAACGTAATACTTTTGCGCCATTTTGTATGTAACACACACACACACATACACACAAAGTCGTATTAAAGACTAATACTTACAAAATGTATAACTTCTCTCGGAATAAGGAAATGCGTAACATTAACAGCTGGATCTGTCGGACGTACAAGTTTGTTGTACCCATCGAGAATCTTTGTTATGATGTAATGTTCTGTAGCAGGTTTTTCTGAGAAGAAAAGATCATTTGATAATCAGTTTCATTTACACTAGACATCATATAGTTTTTCGAGGTTTTTAATATATATCCAGTGGTGTAATTTTACGTTGTTTGTTGCTCTAACGCATGAGGGGTGACACGCATTTGTAATATGGTAGATAGGGGTAAAAAGTGGGATGTTGTATATTGGAGGTAAAAAGTCGGGATGTGGTATATAGGGGGTAAACAAGTGGGTGCTGGGTGTAAAGAAAGGAAAAAAGTGGGAAGTGGGAACAAAAACGACAAAATTGCTGGATTTAGGAATTGAACACTCCCGTGTCAACCCCTCACGCCTGGAACTGTATTATTCATACCAATTTGAACATCATTTACTTATATGAATTTTAGATTTTGCGCCTTATTAAACCCCTGATATACAGTGATCTAATATCTTATTTAAAAAGAGTATATTTTCAACATATCATTTCACACTGAAGTGTAAACAATCACTTTGTCGTAATTTCCACACCCCTGAAGTTAAGATATTTGCGTGAGATATTATTCATTAAATGATATAATCTCCATCAAAAGAGTTGTGTTTCAGTTAAGGCCAAAGTTGAAGTTTGTGTTGTTTTGACGATAGGTTTTTGATGGTTTGGAGATAATAAAAAAAAACGAACAAAAAAATATTTAAAAAATCTTTTGAAAATCAAGAAATTAAGATTTTTAAATAAGCAATTGAATTTCAGTAATTTTAGTATACACTATTTTGTTCCAAAGAAAAACATTCTTTACTGATGTCAGATACTTTTTTGGGCAAACTGATTTTGGTGTTTAAAATGACATTAAACTGTATGTCACTTTTAGACTATAGGTTTGTTTTTTGTTGTTGTGTTTTCTTCTTCGTTGAGTGGTAAGTTTTGAGACTTTGATTTGACGTTAAACAAATAAAATAAAATAGAGTGCCCTGGCCCAAACTGAAGTCTAACTTACAAACTGGGGATAGTGATATAGTATTGGTGTCAACTGTAGAGAATTCATTGGTTGCTGTAACTTACCAACTGGGGACAGTGATATAGTATTGGTGTCAACTGTAGAGAATTCATTGGTTGCTGTAAATTACCAACTGGGGACAGTGATATAGTATTGTTGTCAACTGTAGAGAATTCATTGGTTGCTGTAACTTATCAACTGGGGATAGTGATATAGTATTGGTGTCAACTGTAGAGAATTCATTGGTTGCTGTAACTTACCAAATGGGACAGTGATATAGTATTGGTGTCAAATGTAGAGAAGTCGTTGGTTGTTGTAACTTACCAACTGGGGACAGTGATATAGTATTGGTGTCCACTGTAGAGAATTCATTGGTTGCTTCACAGACATAACTTCCTCCGTCCTCCATCTCGATCTCAGATATCGTTAAAGCTGGATTATCTGTATTACCACCCGATAATCTAGGATCAACAGACAAAAAAATCCGCTCACTGTTTCTGTACCATTTTATTTCTGTTGGAACTCCGGACGTTATTACACAATCTAAAATTATTGCGTCTTCAGTGAAAGGGTCGTAAAATGTTTTAGGTGCTATAATCGCCAGCGGATCTGTCAAAAGAAAAGGAAAGTAAAATATCCATTGGTAAGATAATAACAACACATTTATGTAGCTTGAAATGAAATTTTTCGGTCAAGCAATTCACAGTTTTAAGGCAAATCTGTATCATGTCATGTTTTCAACTTTTTTATTGATACTTTCATCTATTTTCGCTGTGGTGAGGTATCATTTTAAGTAAAAAAAAAAAATAATGTCAGTTGTATCAAACTCTTTCCATTTTGCACCATTTTCGATTGCATGCTATAAGTGACACCACAGGCGGCACTTGTTTCTATCAATGGGTCGACTATCCATTATGGATAGTCGAAGTTCCCATGGATAGAAACAAGTGCCTGTGAATGACACCTTTGATTGTCATAGATAAAGAAGCCATTTGTTGATTGGGGAAGTCCAATAAGAGCTGGTGATATCCTTACATTTGATAGTGAGTGATAAGCTATATATGTTTGTGGGTGAGCGATGTCTAATTTAACTGGCGGTTAGTTGTAGACTTAACTTAAATAGTGAGTTATAACTATCTGTTTGTGGGTTAGAGATATCTAATTTAACTGGCAGTTAATTGTAGACTTAACTTAAATAGTGAGTTATAACTATCTGTTTGTGGGTTAGAGATATCTAATTTAACTGGCAGTTAATTGTAGACTTAACTTAAATAGTGAGTTATAACTATCTGTTTGTGGGTTAGAGATATCTAATTTAACTGGCAGTTAATTGTAGACTTAACTTAAATAGTGAGTTATAACTATCTGTTTGTGGGTGAGAGATATCTAATTTAACTGGCAGTTAATTGTAGACTTAACTTAAATAGTGAGTTATAACTATCTGTTTGTGGGTTAGAGATATCTAATTTAGCTGGCAGTTAATTGTAGACTTAACTTAAATTGTGAGTTATAACTATCTGTTTGTGGGTTTTCGTCGCTTAATGTTTCTGTCTGTTTGTCTTACCTATGATACTCACAGACAAACTAGCTATTTGTGATTTCGCCATGCTTACTATCCTTACCTTTAATAATGAGTGATAAACTAGCTATTTGTGATTTCGCCATGCTTACTATCCTTACCTTTAATAGTGAGTGATAAACTAGCTATGTGTGATTTCGCCATGCTTACCTTTAATAGTGAGTGATAAACTAGCTATGTGTGATTTCGCCATGCTTACTATCATTACCTTTAATAGTGAGTGATAAACTAACTATGTGTGATTTCGCCATGCTTATTATCATTACCTTTAATAGTGAGTGATAAACTAGCTATGTGTGATTTCGCCATGCTTATTATCATTACCTTTAATAGTGAGTGATAAACTAGCTATGTGTGATTTCGCCATGCTTATTATCATTACCTTTAATAGTGAGTGATAAACTAGCTATGTGTGATTTCGCCATGCTTATTGTCATTACCTTTAATAGTGAGTGATAAACTAACTATGTGTGATTTCGCCATGCTTACTATCATTACCTTTAATAGTGAGTGATAAACTAGCTATGTGTGATTTCGCCATGCTTACCTTTAATAGTGAGTGATAAACTAGCTGTTTGTGGGTTGTTGCTGCCCAATGTTTCTGGATGGAATACATCACAATAAAGCACTTCCCCGTTACTACTGGTAGTAGGAGTCCACAACAGGGTACCAGTCAATGCATATGTCTTACTGTTATCATCATAAACTGAGTTAACTGTAACTTCATTACTGAACACAGAATTACCGATCCTGATATTCATTGATTGCTCTGGAAAAGCGCCATGTGACGTACAAGTCCATGATCTTGGTACTCCCGACGTTATTTTAGTTGGACCTGTGAGAGTTGGCTTCGTGGGTGTCGCTAAAAGTACAAATTGGCATGGTCTAAGAATGAAAATTTTCAAAGACATTTGTTCTGTATAAACTTCTGCAGTTAACTTCTGCAGTTATATTTATAATTATCATAAGTTTATACATTCAACGGTAAATATTATTACTTATAAGTTTCGCTTTCCAAACTTTTGGTCAGGTTATTCCTGATGCATGTCCCGGTCGATGGCTATCTCGAGATGGCTATAATATAGTTTAATATTTTGTTAACATTTTCTAATAAAGAGTTACAAAGAGATAGTCTCGTTCTGTGTAACCTATTCACCAACGTTAACAATTGCTGACACCACCGACGCAATAAACAACACTCACAATTCTTACTTGCAGGCGAGTCAACCTTTCTTGATTTAGACATTAAAAGATACGTTGATATAAGGAGATACTTACCATGTTGACCCACCCGTCTCGCTCCTTTTGGCTTTTATGCGATTCCCTAAGTTTTGGCTTGTTATCTTGATATGTCTCTACTTAAATCAATTTACGAGATTTGAACATCGTAAACTACTGTCGCCGTTAATTTACCTCCAAATGAGATTATTTGAAAAGATGGCCAGCGCATACAAACATTTATTTGCTAATGTGCCTTCAAGCTAAATACGTTTGTAATTTGCTATTCTTCCTTTAAATGCCGGTACACAAGCTATGGTATCGACTAAACGTTTGCAACTTGTGGCATCGACTACATGTTCACAAGCTGTGGCATCGATTTAAAGTTTAGAAGCTGTGGTATTGATTTAAAGCTTAGAAGCTGTGGCATCGACACAGCTGAAATCTATAGATTTGAAAAATTGCTTTAGAACGTTATATAATTTGTTATAAATGAAAATATGTATATCTTACACTTTACTGTTAATGTTAAGCTGACTGTCTGTGGACTTTGACCTAATGTGTCAGGATGGAAAACATCACATGACAGGGTTTCTCCGTTATGTTTAGATTCTGGACTCCATACAAGTGTACCAGTGACTCTGTTTAGTTTGGAATTTTCATTATATTCGGAGCTGACCGTAACTTGGCTATTCAGAATTGTTGTGCCAATCCTCATACTCATGGTTTGTTTAGGATTTCCACCTAGGGACAGACATGTCCAGGTATTTGAAGTACCAGAAAGCATCGTCGTAGGACCAGTCAATATAGGTGTCTCTGGTGTCGCTGTAATAATAACAAGAATTATCCATTACTTTTCCATAACACCGACTCAGCAGTAAAGTCGAAATATATAGTAAGTATAAGATGTACTCCCATTTTAAACATGAAATTCAAAATATATAGCAAGTAGAAGATGTATTCCCATTTAAACATGAAAGTCAAAATATATAGCAAGTAGAAGATGTATTTCAATATCAAACATGAAATAAATAGCAAGTAGAAGATGTATTCCAATATCAAACATGAAAGTCAAAATATATAGCAAGTAGAAGATGTATTTCAATATCAAACATGAAAGTCAAAATAAATAGCAAGTAGAAGATGTATTCCCATATCAAACATGAAAGTCAAAATATATAGCAAGTAGAAGATGTATTTCAATATCAAACATGAAAGTCAAAATAAATAGCAAGTAGAAGATGTATTCCCATATCAAACATGAAAGTTAAAATCATGAGAATCGGACAACCAAAGAAATAAATATTCGATCAAAGACCTTCTCATGGATGTAGATTCAAAGCGTTTTGTTAGACAAATCTGGTAATTTCTTCGAATTCTTTGAATAAAAAACTATTTCTACACGACGGAATTTTAGGGAATGAAAAATATAACTGCCAGTTATTATTAAAGGTAAAACTTTCTTGAAAATTAAAAAAGAGCCTGATTAAATGAACACTCTATTATTGTTTATAACAGATGTTTTTATACGTCAATGAGACAACTACCCAACTACACAAAAAAGGCAACATTTAAAGTTCAATCTAGAGCCTTCATCAATAGTCATGTGTCTATACATTATGTCAAGAGACTGGAAATTTAACCAAAATTACCCAATTAATACAAATTTACTAAATGACAAAACAAAACATTAAATGCTTACTTTTAACTGTTAAAGGTAAGCTGGCGGTTTGCGGGTTGTTCCCTAATGTTTCATGCGTCACATCACAGTAAACTATCTGTCCGTTATTGCTGGTTATTGGACTCCATACAAGAGTACCTGTGACTTTATATGTCTTTGAATTTTCATCATACTCCGAGCTGGTTGTCAACTCGTTAGGCAATATAGTGTTTCCTATTCTCATAGACATCTTTTGTTCTGGGTTGCCTCCCATGGATATACATATCCACGTTTCTTGGATACCAGATGTTACCGTTGTTGGTCCTGTTAATATTGGTGGCTGTGGAATTGCTGTAAATTCAGAATATTATACAATAATGTGATTGTGTAACGGTGTATTTGTTATCATGGTAAGTGTACAAAATCATTGTCACGTCAGTCATGTTTTAAAAAAAATGGGAAATTGAAAAAGGCCTAGAGCGTTAATGATTCAGCGATACACGTTTTTTTTTTCAAAGCACAATTATAAAAATCACAAATATAGTTTAAAATTGGTCGTATTTAAAAGTACGGCCATATTTCGATATTTAATTCTAACAAATACGTAAGACGTTCTATTAATTAAAGTGCACAATTTCACAGACTGTAAAGTACGTATGCACTATTTGAGCACACGTTTAATGAAGATCCGCCTTCAACTGACAGAATTGTATCTAACGTTGAATCTTTAGAAAGGACTAGTCTAACGCCTATTTTTCAGACCTATTAAAACCAAAATGCATGATTAAATACGCAATTATATAATTTGAAAGAAGTTTTATGTTTGATAATGCCCGGAGTTAAATGGATTTAAATCATATAAATGACTATTTTGACAGGTGTTCATTGGTATAAATTCATATGCATTCTTTTTCATTTTTTGTGGGACACATGTGAAAGTAAATTCTATATGTCTTACAATTGTTCCTAAAAAAAATTCCTTTTTGTGACAAAAGTTTTGCTGCATGTAAAAATGATAATTATACTTGTAAAAAAAACTTATTATACTGTTAAATACTTGACAAAACTTTTCTATAACCAAAACCAACATCTGATAGCATTAACGGGAAATCATCCATACAAAACTTTCAGTTGAAATGATGGTCAACTTTACAAAATTTTCAATAAGTTGGCCTCTGGTCGATAGTGAGATTTCTCATTGACAATCATACAAAATCTCCTTATTTTCATACTGATCGTAGAGTTGGGAATATATGAACTGAAATGCTTTGTTTATTAGAAAAGAGCCAATGAAAGTCAAGGGTGTCGAGATGCTTTCTAGCATGGCGACATTCATTCAATATTTGTTGTAATTATCGTTTACAAGTAAGGTTATTGCCTCATAAAATGAAATTCATCCCATTATTTGCAGTAAAATGTCTCTGCTCCGCAGCCATTTCCCAATTATTCTATCGTGTATTTCCTGTTATATCGATGATGTAGGACTCACGATAATTGATACTTTTTTGGCGTTTTGTTTATTTGTTATTTTGCTACAAGATAGAACGAAGTAGCTTTAAAGGTTTATAAGATGCTTAGAGGATTGTCTTACCCTGAACAAGAAGTGACAAGCTGACTGTCTGTGGAATATTTCCTAATGTGTCCGGGTGTAAAACATCACAGTAAAGTGTTTCTCCATTATAAGTGGTTGTAGGACTCCATACAAGTGTTCCTGTTACTCTGTAGGTCTTAGAACTTTCATCGTATACCGTATTCAACGTCACCTCATTACGAAACACAGAGTTACCGACCCTGATGGACATGGTTTGTTCTGGATAACCACCGGATGAAACACAGGTCCATGTGTTAGAAGTACCAGAAATAACTGAAACCGGACCAGTCAGTACTGGGGTTTGTGGTGTGGCTGTAAAATAGAGAAAGATTAATGACTGAACAGAGATAAACAAGTTCAGGTGTTAAATGCACAGAAGAGAATTGAGGCTGGACTAGTTAGTAATAGTGTTTGTGGTGTGGCTGCAATATACAGAAAAGACTATGGACTAAACATAAGATTTTATATCATATGATTTAATATGTTTATCGCTCAATGACATTCTTCCTTTTTATCTACTGTTTTACTAAAAGAGAGAACTTGTTTATAGTTCTTTATTTCTTACCTTGCACTGTCAGTTGAAGACTAACTGTCTGTGGGTTGTTTGGTCCTAACGTTTCTGGATGAGTAACATCGCAATATAAAGTTTGACCATTATTACTGGTGTCTGGACTCCAAACAAGTGTACCGGTAACTTTATACGTCTTTGAAATTTCATCATATTCTGATTTGGTTGTGATTTCATTCGTGAACACAGAGTTTTCTAATCTGATGGACATCGTCTGTTCTGGGAAACCACCCAAAGATATACATGTCCACGTTTCTGGTGTTATGTATGCCACTTGTGTTCTTGGTGACACAGTTGTCGGACCGGTCAATGTTGGTGGCTGCGGGGTTGCTGTGAATGGGACAATAGAACATTATTGTTGGTATAATTTGCATTTTAACACTTAATTTGTGTTTGTAATAATGCAATCACTTATATAAGCTTCAAAATATGCTGATCTCGGAGTTTCAAATGTAAGGAGGGCTATTTAGAATAGTAACAATGAAAACACTTTATGTTTAACAGTGACATCTTCTTGAATGGTGTGGAATTATCTAGTAGATAAATAAAGGCAACAGTAGTATACCGGTGTTCAAAAGTCATAAATCGATTGAGAAAATACAAACTAAAACCGATGGAAACACATCAACTATAAGATGAAAACAAATGAACAACAGGAACACTGAAGTGCAACTACGATTTGAAGATATTTCACACCCCACCCCCTTTGATTGGAAAATATATATTTTTTAAGCATAAAATCGTCCTAAATTTTTTTGTGGTATATATTCTATTTTATACAATTACGCTCCCATTTCAAAAATTCTGGATCCGCCCTATAGAAGTGTGTGCATTATGAATAGTATTCATTGACATATCCAAAGAGGAGTTTAAAGACGTTGAAACACGTACTTTCTTTGGATTTATTTTAATTTACGTAAACATCGACGAAAATATTTAGCTTAGACTCCTACTTTTCAACCACGTAGACCTTTTTCATAAAAAACGTTTCTTAGCGTACGCCTACTTTTTGCATTTCTTTTTTGAAAACTACTCTATTTAAATTCCAAGCAATAGCTCAAATTTCATTGACAGTCAAAGGGAGAGAAATGTTGAATAATTGTAAACCTTGAAATAATTCAATTTCAATTGTTGTGCTGCATACGACATATATGATTGATTGGCTATTCTTAAATATTCTTAGTATTCATGTATATTATTCTGAATGAATGTATGAACCTCGCAGTTTTCTTTATATAATTTAAATTACCAAACGGGTAACAGAGAAATGAAGGATATCAGCGATCAATATTCAATGCCGACTATTCATTTTCTGATTGTTGTTTTACAAATACAATTATCAGCACGTATCAACGCGTCACAAAATTTTAATATGTTCCTGTCATTTATTTCTCGAACGGTATTTTTTATACTTTACGTTCTCCTACAAACTGATAAACTAATTGTCTTACTATTTACAGTTAACGGTAAAGTAACTGTTTGTGGAGCTTGTCCTAATGTGTCCGGGTGTAAAACATCACAGTAAAGTGTTTCTCCATTATAATTGGTTGTAGGACTCCATACAAGTGTTCCTGTTACTCTGTAGGTCTTAGAACTTTCATCGTATACCGTATTCAACGTCACCTCATTACGAAACACAGAGTTACCGACCCTGATGGACATAGTTTGTTCGGGATAACCACCGGAGGATACACAGGTCCATGTGGTAGATGTACCGGAAAGAACTGAGGCCGGGCCAGTCAGTACTGGTGTTTGTGGTGTGGCTGTAATATAGAAAAAAGAATAATGTTTTAACACAGATACACAGGTCCAGGAGTTAGATACCATTTACTTTACATTTTTATTAAAAGATAAAATAAAATTGGTTTCAAAAGTGAAGTGAAATATAGCAAAGTGATAATCAAACCAGTAAGTCGAAGACAAACTGACAATGTTATGACAAAAAACGAAAAAACGACGAAAAGACAAACAACTGAACACAAAACACAACATTGAAAACAAAAGACTGAGCAACACGAACCCCAACTAAACCCGGGTGATATCATGTGCTCCGGAAGGGTAAGCAGATATGCTCCATATGTGGCATTTGTCGTGTATTTTAAGGTTTTTAAAATGCGTAGAAGATTGTCTTACCCTGTACAGTAAGTGACAAGCTAACTGTCTGTGGACTATTTCCTAAGGTGTCGGGGTGTAAAACATCACAGTAAAGTGTTTCTCCATTATAAGTGGTTGTAGGACTCCATACAAGTGTTCCTGTTACTCTGTATGTCTTAGAACTTTCATCGTATACCGTATTAAACGTCACATCATTACGAAACACAGAGTTATCGACCCTGATGGACATAGTTTGTTCTGGATAACCACCGGTGGATACACAGGTCCATGTGTTAGATGTACCGGAGAGAACTGAGGCTGGACCAGTCAGTACTGGGGTTTGTGGTGTGGCTAAAGAAAAAATAATTTTTCAATCAAATTTAGTTTAATTGTACTAAGATGACCCTGAACGAAGGTCAATATTTCCTTAAAAGTAATATAGCTTTTATACATGTAGTGCTTCGACAGTAATGAACTTTTTAGTTTGACAGGTCATGAAAGTGCTCAATGGTTTTGCCCTACTTCACAGGAAAAATTATGTAGTCACACAAGAAGGTTATATGGATGCATTACTTTTTCAAAGATTAAGTAGAGTTCATTAAACATATTTTCCATATTTCTTTTATTCTTACATTGTACAGTCAGTGATAGACTAGCAGTCTGTGGGTTGTTAGGCCCTAACGTTTCAGGGTGCGTCACATCGCAGTATAAAGTTTGTCCATTATAACTGGTGCCTGGGCTCCAAACAAGTGTTCCGGTTACTCTAAAAGCTTTTGAACTATCATCATACTCAGACTTAAATGTGGCTTCATTAGTAAACACAGAGTTCTCTACCCTGATTGACATAGTCTGTTCTGGGTAACCACCCAACGATACACACGTCCACGTATAGAGTGTTCCTGGTGTTAATGTTGATGGACCGGTCAATGTTGGCGGTTGTGGTGTTGCTGTAAATGAAGAGGAAACTTATTTCTCTTAGTTTGTATAATGCATTTACTCTGTTTTTGTGTTAATTTTGCCTTCAACCTTTCGGGCTATACAGCTGAGTATAATTGAATTAACAATCAAACATTGGGGCTTGACGTATTGTGTGGTTGTCTGTTGGTGGTAACTGTTTGATGCCCTCAGGGTTGGCTATTGTATCGTTATGTTGCTGTCCCATTGACGTATACCCAATGTCACTTTTTATTTATATTCAACACTACTAGAGAAGATACGAGATAGACATCGATTTTGTCAAATTCATGTTGCATTTTGAAGCTAATCAAATATTTCAAACCATTTAGTAGGCAACGGACCAAGTTCTTATAGTCAGACGACATTTTCCGTTATTTTCAAACGGACACTGTAGTGGAAAAGGCAATCCAACGAAAGTCATGTGAAATAATGTCTCAACAGTCAATGCTTTTATAATGGTTCATAATCTATTCCTTGAAAGAGATACCAACAACAAAAGTAGTAAAGACATCCAAACATCAACAAAAAAACTAAAACTGATGTACAAACAAAATATAAAACAAAACAAAACAAAAAATTCAAACACCGTAAATTACGACAGGTATTCGAACAACAGAATACAGAAACAAGAAAGGTGTACAAAGAAAAACAAAAACAACAAGAAAAATGTATAAAGAACATCAAAAACAACAAAAATGGGATAGAAAGAAAAAAAAAGAAAGGTGTGCAAAGGACAACAAAAACAAGTAAGGTGAACAAGAACTACAAAAACAACAGGAAGGATGTACAAAGAACAACAAAAACAACAGGAAGGTACAAAGAACAACAAAAACAACAGGAAGTTGCAAAGAACGACAAAAACAACAAGAAAGATGTACAAAGAACTACAAAAACAACAAGAAGGTGTAAAAACAAAAATAAACTTGACAATTTTATATACTAGTAAACATAAATAAACAACTTAAATACATTTAATTTGCTTTTTGGTTATAGTAATTATACCAAGACTCTGAATCATACAGCAGCATTGATTTTCCAAAATCAAAAACCAGGAAATATTTTATTTTCTTTTCCATTTTTGTCGAGCCTGCGACCTTTGTCTCAAAAGCGAGACATAGCGATCCTACATTCCGTCGTCGTCGTCGTTGTCGGCGGCGGCGTCCACAAATATTCACTCTGTGGTTAAAAGTTTTTGAAATTTTAATAACTTTCTTAAAGTATCCTGGATTTCTACCAAGCTTGGACAGAAGCTTGTTTACGATCATAAGATAGTATCCCAAAGTAAATTTTGTAAAACAAAATCCTGTTTATCCGTATTTTACTTATAAATGGACTTAGTTTTTCTGCCAGTTAACATTACATTCACTCTGTGGTTAAAGCTTTAAAAATTTTAACAACTTTCTTAAAATATCCTGGATTTCTACCAATCTTGGACAGAAGCTTGTTTATGATCAAAAGCTAGTATCTAGAAGGAAATTGTGTGAAAATTTATCTCCTGTTTTTCCGTATATTACTTATACTAGTAAATGGACTTGGTTTTTCTTCCAGTTAACACTACATACAGTCTGCAGTTAAAGTTTTTAAAACATTTATTAGATCCATAAATCATCCTGGATTTTTACCAAACTTGGACAGAAGCTTCTTACAATCAAAAGATAGTATCTAGAGGAAATTTTTTAATAATAATAATAAGTATAACTTTTTTCATACATTTCAAACGTTTTATTTCATTAACTGTATTATCTATTATGTGCATTCCCCTATCACACTGAAAACATAGACAACAGCAAAAGAAGGCGAGACACTGGGTTCCGCGGAACCCGGCCTTACGAATTTTTAAAAGATTAAACTTGTTTTCATTATGAAGTAGGTCTTCTAAAACGGCAATACATGGGTTAATGTGTCTTGATTTGGAATGAGTAATCTCTCTCTCTCTCTCTCTCTCTCTCTCTCTCTCTCTCTCTCTCTCTCTCTTTCTTTCTCTCTCTCTCTCTCTTTCTTACTAATCCAACAATAGGGATGAAAGAGAGCTATGAGTGAGTAGCTGAACTGGACGTGATTGTGTATTTATACATCCTTTGCAGCCAAACGGGTGCTCCTTGAGCCGGAATCGTATCCTCTGACAAAGAAACTCAGACCCGGGGGTGCCAACGGGAAACTTTAAAAAAAATAACAACTGAGAATTTTTTTCAATAAATTTGGGTAATTTTGTGCTTTTTCTTATTTATGAAAGGTTTTTGGATTCTGTCTATAACGGTACCCTAGTTAAACCATGTCGTGTACAGAATATAAGATTGAATTTATCCTACCTTTTGGAGATACTGTTATGGTAGTCGTATTCCTCGTGGCACTGCCATCAGTAGCCCCACATATGTAGCTACCTGCATCAGTGAGTTGGACCTGAGTTATTGTAAGGGACGGCGTGTTTGCGTTACCACCAGAAAATCTCAGATTTGCCGCCATAATAACAAGCTTATTGTTTTTGTACCATCTGACTTGAGTTGCTGTTCCAGAAGTAATTATACACGTTAATGAGATTGTCTCCCCTGTCGTTGGGTTAAACTGTGTTTGTGGCGCATCTACATCCAACGGGGCTGTAATGGTCGAATATAATAATCACTTATTTGACAAAGCACCAAAAAAAAATTAAAAAGAACTTTAAAATCGTGTTATTTCATATGTTTATTAAAATATACAGAAAAACATCACAAAAACTATTAAATATCTGTAATATGCATGTATACTAACCTGCATGGGTCATCGGATTCAACGTAACCATACCGACCAGAAGTAGGTTCGTATTTATACATCCCACACAACCAAGCGACGCTGCCGGATGGGAGAAATCCATGGATGACCCTATTTCTATACCTCTTTCAACCCTTGGTATGAAACAAAAACCTTTGACAAATAGTAGAAAGCTTTGAAAGATTTAAGTGTTTTCTGAACAAATTACCGTTTGATTACACTTTGTGTCTTATCTGAGTAATACTTACATTTAACAGTCAATGGTAGGCTGACTGTCTGTGGATTGTTAGGTCCTATAGTTTCCGGATGAGTTACATCACAGTAGAGTGTCTGTCCGTCATTAGCTGTTGTTGGGGCCCAAGAAAGGGTTCCAGTTACGGTGTATGTTTGTGTATTGCTATCAAACGCCGTCTTTGTATCAAGTTCTGTGGAAAATTTTGAATTTCCCACCCTCATAGACAATTTTTGTACTGGATAGCCACCATCAGATGTACAGGTCCACGATGTCGGTGTCCCTGATATTATTTCTGTAGGACCTGTTAGGACTGGTGTCCGTGGAGTTTCTGTGAAGCATAAGATTAAAGATATCAAATGAACACAAGTCTTTGAAATTACTCGAGAATTCATTTCAATTGGTGATATAGTATACATGTATACTTTATACATTGGATGAGATTTTGACTGCATGACATGCCGTTATTTTTAAATGAGACTACTTTTGAAAAGTCAACGAAAATTCCAGTAGTTTTAAATATATCTTACTCGATGAATTGATGATGGAATGCAACATATGTGATAATTTTCCAATTTTTAATCGGAACTTTCAATTTCTATTTTCCATGTTAACGAAGAATGCAAATTTCTTGTGCGGTTAAGTGAAAATATTAAGTAACGTTTAGATGGTTAACTGAATTTCTGATAAATTTTTAAATGTACGAATACACCCAATGATCATCAAATCACATGACATTCAGATTCATGTATATATATAAAATCACCATTATATATATGCTCCGGACCATATGAGTATTTGGACCATACGCGTAGCGTGACCATATGCGTATACTCATGGCCCGACCATACGCGTATGATTGGACCATATGAGTACAATTTACTTTTACCACAGCAAAGTTAGCTATTCACATAACTGTAGATTTTCAAATCATTTTCTTGATTAGTTTCGATTCTCTTTCATGATTTTGTGTCATTTGTTACTGTTTAATTACATAGTATATATTTCCTTTCTATATATGTAATAGAATATTTATTTTACCAAATTACAGGGCCCATAAAAGGCATATAAATGAGATACAATGATTGAAATAATCGAGTCAACAATAGGACTTTACGATATAATATAAATATTATCATACGCCTCAGTCAGAATCAGAGCCAAAATAAGATAAAAACAAAGAAACAAAAACACATTGATATTAAATACAAGTTTCAATTCTTGTTCTTCTTAAGTCAAAAGAACAATCAATAAAATTACCATTTTTTTTCCATAATAATAAAGTTTTCTTGTGTTAACAACCAAACAAATTTTGAAGATTTATCTAAACTATCAAAGTTCTGACAAGTGTTAGAAATATACTTAAAGAGTTTACTCTCAAATTATTATTTATTATGTAATGAACATTCGATTAAGAAGTGACGCTCATCCTCTCATTCTCTATACAAAAGCCAAAAAAATTTAAAAAAAATAAATCATTTTTTATCGATATCTATAAATTTACCCGTATATGAAATAGTAATTTGCTTATTTCTGTAATTAAAAGTGTCAAGAGACAGTTTACTTACTATACACTTCTACAAATATGGTTCTTGACAGTGGGTTCTGGAGTAGTCCGTTCTCTGATTGGCATTCAAACACAGCGAACTGTTCATTAGCGGAAGCAGTAAACGTATAGTTGTTTGTAGTGATACCACCGACAATGCTATATGTCTCATCTATAACGGTGTTATCTCTTAACCATCTGACTGATGGGTCAGGCTTACCACTATTCACCGAACAGGTTAAAGTCACTTTGTCACCCATTATAATGACCTGTGGCCCACTGATCATTGGTACCCCTGGAGGAACTATAAAAGAAGACTTTTTCATGAGTAATTCATTTTGTAAAAGCTATATAGTAAGCATTTGTAATCGATAAAACATTCATTTTTATAGAAATTTTAATATAGAAATTCAGTTTATACAACTAAGTTGATTGATTGATTAGTGTTTAACGCCATTTTCAGAACTGTTGGCTATTTTGTCGCCGTCATTTTTTATTGGTGGAGGAATCTGGAGTGCCCGGAGAGAACCACCGACCTTCGATAGGAAAACTAACAATCCTAGCCAATTAAAATTAGAGTCGAGTGCACCTGCCACGTGCGGGGTTCGAACTCACAAACTCAGTGTTGACGGGCTAGTGATACAGTATTAGAACTGCTTAGACCACTCGACCACCGGGGCCCCTATACAACCAAGACAATATTAACTGAGTACATGTACCTACATATCTGTAAGTGAATTATTTTATTGAACTTGATATTGATGAATGTTCTTCTATGCCACATGCTTTTATAAATTTTTTTCATTTCTAAGAATCTTTAATCTTCTAATCTATCGATTAGTTCGTACAGATTATCTGGTTTTCTACACATTGATATCGTAAAATATATCAACCGCGAGCCACAATGCAAATCTTTTTGGCGGGTGGGTGCAGCAAACGCGCTAGAAGGTTTCACAAAGTGTCGAGAGCTGTAGCTTATTGTTTAAATAACTTAAGAAAAGAACTTATTTTTTATTGTTCGTATGAGTTATAGATGAAATTCGTGTACTCTGATTCTATAAGCAGAAATTGAGATTTTCAAACATTGGTTAGATGAAATGGAAAAAATTGATACGTTAAATTGGGAAGTCCGTAAGGTTCTATAAATCCTCAAAAATAAATCGTTAGAAATGATCCTTTTTTTTAATTACGTTATTTATACTGCAGTATATCATTGTCTGTGTATTATACGAACGCTGACAATACATTTCAGAATATTCGCAAAAGTATGTTGACTCGAACAGGCTTATAGATGGCAGTGCAAAAAAAAAAATCAAACAAAGTACTACACAGATCTTTTTTTTTTTTAAGTAGCGCAAAAATATTACGAACACGATAGACGTTATGTCAGTCACTCTGCCAGCTTTTCGCGCGATGATTTTATTTTATAAATTGTGTGTGTTCATTGAATTACTAAATATTGAAACTTTTCAATTATTTTTCTTGTGAAAAATTCCGAATCAATAACAGAAACGCACATGGTATTTATTTACTGTTCTTAAAGTGATTGAGAGTACTGATTTAACCGATAAGCATTTTTAAATATTTAAATATCATAACATAATTCTCGGTGACACATGCAGTGCTATTTGTCATAAAACTTATTGTAATAGCTAACCAATTAAAGCAAGTTACTCATAATATACAATAAGTTATTATAACCAAATACATTACAGCCATTTGTGATAATATGTAACAAAGGTACTATATAATCTACTTACCCTGAGTCAGAGTTGGGATTATCAGTACAAACAAAGGTACTATACAAAAATTAAAAACCCTCTTCATCCTAAAAATACAAAATATAATTTCACAGTTTGTTCAATTTTTCGTGTAAAAGAACCGAAACAAGTTGCACATTCATTTTTTTCTTCTCTTTTAACGCAGGTTTTTAGGGGATCCTTAGTAGACTGTTGAAAGACATATTTGTCGAACATACCCTCAAAGTTTCCCCTCTTCTTCTCGGTCTCCCAAATTTTCAAAACCTACTGTTTAAATATATCGTTTAATTTGGTTTTATCCTGAATCATTATAAAATATTTGCCACTGGATGTAAAGCAAACAAAAATCAACCAATCTCAAAGTTGAGGCGTCGGGTTTATTATGTGTAACTGTTTATAGTTCATCAGTTTCTTTCACGCTGTTTACTTCTAAAACTTTGTTCACCCAGAATCTCGAGCAAATGAACAAAAAAATGTACCGATTGTTTTAACACTTAACTGAATTTGGAGAGTTAAGTTTCAGTCTGGAGAACAAATTTATCGGTTAAGAATGTTTATATAGGGACGTGAAATTTGAATGTTTCAGCAAGTTAACTAGCGTGTATGGGTTTGATGAATGTATTCAACCCATGATGAAAACATTAGACGTATCAGAACATGATCAGTTGCAGAAAACAATCCAAAGTACGGTCCTTTTGAGATTGCATGAAGAGCGTAAAAAGAAACAGGAATGTTTGTTGTAAAATGGAACTGAATCACTCATGAAACAGTTTAATTTTTGTTTCAGTCAGACTGAAAAGTCCGTGATGTTGTTTACAAGATCCTTAAATTTACAAATAATTTCTCGAAAAAATACATACTTGTTCTTGATTTCTTAATCCAGACCTCTTAAGACTGGTGTAACAGGTGCTCTTCCAAGACTGGACTGGTCAATGTAATAATGCGTCTGTACTATATAACAGGTCATGTGTAAAACTAGGGACAATGGGATTAAATATTAATTATGGTATTTATTATAAAAAAAAATATACTGAAATGAAATCTAATTAGTCGTTTATTGTTGTTTACGAAAAGTTAATATCTTGTTAATACTGTATTAATATTTAATTTGAATAAAAAAATATTACATGTAGTGATTCCATTTTACTACACTACATGTAGTATCTATGTAATAAGCAGATACCTGTATATATTTTCATATTCATATTATCCTTCATTAATCTTTTAAGATAACAATATATCTGATTCAGTGCAGTTTATGTCAATCGGATTGAGCAGGGTTATAAAAACAACTATGTTTGTACAGAGACCTACAATTGTATCATATGTCTCTGGTTTGATCAATTCACATTTTTATGTCACAACTGACTAAATTATTCTATTTGAAGATATAAAATGTCAGATGCTTCAAATACACTCATTATAAATATGGGTGAAAGGAGATGCGTGGTTTACGTCAATTGTGATGCGTGTTTTACGTCAATGAGATAGCAACCGAAAGACAAAAAAAAATATGGTAAAAGTAATGTTAAATAATTAGGAGTTGTTATCATGATGTACCTCCTTTTAACCTTATTCATGCCTACGATGGCTCAAAACTGCAATTTTGATTGAAATTTTTACAAACTTTGAGTAATTATCCATAAACGTTTAAGAAAGATATAACGTATTAACGGTACCAATTTTATTGCACCAGATGCGCATTTCGACAATACATGTCTTTTCAGTGATCCCGAGGCCTACTTTTTTGAATATATAAAAATCCAAAGCCTAATATGATCTAATATGAACGTTAAAAAAATGATCAACCTAAAAGGTAAAACCAAACCCGGACAAGAGATCAACCAAAACCAGAATTATGTTGGAAGTAATACTGTATATTATCATTCAGATACAAAGTCATTCATTTTTGAAAACAAAAATGTCTTTCGATGCAAAATTAACATAAACGTACGATCGAAGCGCCGAATATAGCATTTTGATACTATATGGAAATATGTAAAATTGTTGGAATTTTTTTAAATGGTCTTGTTCATACTCGTTCTTTTTCAATATCTGAGTTTGACCATGTGGTTGAAACAAATACTTGGTACATGGTTTGTCATACGTCTTTTCAAATTTCATCGGCCAATGATTTCTCGTAATAAAGTTCACTTTCTTGTATGTTCATCCATTAATTGTGGAGCACTACCCATAGGGTATAATTGTAGCAACTATATACACCTTAAAACATAAGGGAATATATAAACCTATGTACAGATAAATGAATAAGGGCAATATTATTATTATATCATAGGATAGTCATAACAGTTATAAAACATGAAATTAATTAATTAATCATAATAGTTATATTATAAAAAAACATGTGCTGAGGTGTAAGAAAAAGTTAAGTAGGAACTGGATATATTTACAAATAAAATTTGAAAATTTAAAACGCTCAAATTAGTTTCAAATTTTAATTCTATTGGTTAGTTAAAGGTGCTATTCTTACATCAGAATTTAAAATAAAAAGATAATCTTAAAAGAGTGTTACGTAAAAAGGAAATTGGTTAGGATTTTGAACAATTCCAACGTATATACATAAGTTTTCCATCACAATTTAAAATTTCCTATTTCATAGACATCGTCATTATTCTTTAAAGGTACTTAATATATCTTAAAAACTTTAATCAAGCAATATTTAAGTCTTAAAATTATCATAAAATAGTAATATGGTAAAAATAAGAAACTATCTTATTTTAAATTATCACTTATACTGTGCTTGTAATAAAACATTACCAATGACGAAACATAAGGTACTGAGTGAATCCGAATTATAAAAAAGAGGCGGTCTGAGATACCAAGAGGACATTCAGAACTGATAAGTCGGAGGGAAACTGACAACACCATGGGGGAAAAACACAATTAAAAAGATAAAACACTGCAGAGGAAACATAAACTTGACTGAGCAACACAAACCCAACAAAAAACTGGGGTTATATCAGGTGCTCCGGAATAGTAAGCAGATTGTGCTTTACTAGTGGCTTCATCCTAAAAATATCAGTTAGTTTTAGATTCTGATTACTTTATTGTTTCGCGCATTTTATATTTCAAGAAAACTTTTGATACCGATTCCGGTGCTCACGACATCGTTATGTGTTTCCTTTGGGAAATACGCCATCAGGTATACGTAAGCTCGATATAAAAAATTGTCGAATCCGATACAAACTTCATCAACGAGCACTTAAACCCCTAAAAGTGCCCAAACAGAACAGCCAAATCTTCTAGTCAACAGGTTTTCAAACCTTACAGTTTGATCATATGTTAAGAATACAAATGGAAACTATACGGCTTTGGTTTGGTACAAATCTATATATATGCAATCTCAGAAGTCCATTACTAGTCTGGCAACATATAAAACGCAAAACACCGCATGAACTAATTGCCAAAAAAACACAATCCGAATTTTCAGGCTACTTATTTTTTTAATAAACTGTACATGCAATAAATTACTTAGAAGTATATACATATTATTTACAAGGATTTATTACCTTTATAAGTCTATTTGAATTTTAAATATAAACAAAGAAACATACTTATATTAGTTTACCTTATGGAATCTGGGATTGATACAGTACTATCTATTGGTCCCAGTTTTATTATTGATTGTAGAGTTTCATAATTTACGATTTTTAAAGTAATTATATGAAATTGTGATAATTTTGGACATGTCTGATCTCAGGTGTGATTTGATAAAACTGGTCTTTTACGGTTATGTAATTTTCAGTATAATTTGACAATTAAGGGATAATCTGCCAATTAAGACAAGATTTGACATGCGGTAAATAATTTTAGGTTTCGCCTCTTTTTCGAGTAATACTTACAGTTATATACAATTATTTGTACCCATTTATACCCGAGAAAAAATAGATATGTTAATATATAAATAAATATAAACCAGCCTCAATATTCTTAGTATATATTGCTCGAATTGGAAACTACATGTTAATGTACAAAAATCAAAGGTATTAGTATTTAATTCTAATGGTAAAACATATCGAAATGAGTTTACCTATAATAATAATGCCATACAAACCGTCTCCAAATATTGTTACTTGGGAATAATGTTAAAGTGTAATGGCAACTTTAATTTAGCTGTATCCTTACTAATGGAAAACGCTAGGAAAGCATGTTTTAAGATTAAGAAAACAATTGGATTGGATAATCCTTGTAAACTTTTAGAAAAATTATTTGAGTCACTAGTAAGTCCGATCTTGCTGTATTGTAGTGAGATTTGGGGTGTTTTTGATAATTCCGGAGACGGTTCCATTTTGGAAAAATTCCATATGAAGTTCATAAAAGAAATTCTTGGTGTTCATTGCAAAGCAATTAATGCTGCTTGTAGAGCTGAACTTGGCAGGCTACCATTGTGGTCAAAAATCTCATTTTCTTGTATTAAATTTTTTGAACATATTTTAAGGTCTGAAAACACACTTGTATCCAAAATTTTTTTGGCAACTGAAAAAATAACCCCTGGACAAAGAAACTTTATTCTATTTTAAATAATCTAGGATTTTCAAACCTAGCTGGGGGAAACTTTTCTATGAAACAATATCTACCAGGTATCAAATATCGAGTGATTGATCAGTGCACGCAGGATCAATCATCAAAATTTCACAATTCATCCAAACTAAAATTTTATCAACAATTTCATAATTCAAATCAGCGTAGTTTTTATGTTGATGTTCTAAGTAATAAATTAGAAAGGTCATTTCTGTGTAAAATAAGATTGAGTGCACACAATCTTGCTATAGAAAAAGGGCGACATTTAGGTTTACCCACCAATGAACGAGTTTGTAATGTATGTAAATCGGGTGAGACAGAAGATGAAAATCACTTTTTACTGAATTGTGAAAAACTTTCTAACTATATTCACAACCCCCCTCCCCCGCCGCTTGGAAATCTTAAAATAATTTTTGTATTAATCATTTCTTGCTTTAATGTTATCTTTACTATAAATTGAATATCCAGCACTGAATAGGGTGACACGTTGTCGCTACACTCCTTTAAATATACACATGTCATAATTAAATTGGCCTAAGGGAAACTTGATAATTAGAGGATCAAAGGATTTGATTAAGACAATCCAATTAAGGCTGCTATCCCTATATTTTATTTCTTTGTTGGTTTTATGATTAAAACGACGTTTTCTGTTAGCTTGATTTGAAGAAAATTACTTTTTCACCCTATCATATCCATAAGATTGGTTTTTTAAATGACACCTGCAGAATCTAAGGATATTGCAAACTTTTATTCCACATCCGTACCTAGTGCACAAATGTGTAGCATTCTAAATTAAAACTGGAATCCACCTAGTTCTTTTTCTTTTCATAAACGAGAAATGTACGGGTTAAAAAGATGCTTCAAATATGCTTGGCTGCACTTTTCCCCATGCATTGTCTATTCAACTTCACAGGACGGAATTTACCGCAAATTTTGCGTTTTGTTCGCTACTGACGACAACCCCGGAAAGTTTGTTAAAAAAACCTGTTCAGAATTGGGTAAAGGCAAATGGTGAATGTTAATCTCGCGAAAAAAAACCACCACCAAACAGCCTTATTTAGATCACAAGACTTTACCAACACACATAATAATTCAGCTAGTGGAATAGATGCAAGGGCTGATACGATCTGTAATTAAATAATTGAACTAATCTAAAAAGTTTATTTTGAGTAATCATATGCCGGGTAAACAAAAAGTGTGCCAATTATTGAAAAACATGAGGTTTGGTATAACAAGAAAACTTCTCTAATATATATTAATGTTCAAAAACGTTTCTCACCCCCCCCCCCCCCCCCCCCCCCCCACGCTTTTAGCTCTGGATCCGCGCCTGAAGTTGTAGTGAAAATCAGCTAAATATGAAACGTTGCATTAATAGCAATTCTTTAAAAGTCCTGAAAGTGACAAGTTCTTATATACATAAATGTATGGTATATAGAAATGAGATTTTGAATTCTTAATTATAACATATTCCATTATGCAGTGTATTCATTGTTATCATGTACTGATATATGGGCCTTTGCCAATTATTGTAATTGTGTTTGTGCCAATAAAATATTTTTGTATTTGTATTTATTTGTATAAACTTTAAGAACATAATTCTAAAAGATGCAACTCCAGTTCGTGTTTAAATTCTGCTGGTAAAATAATTTTAAAGCGGTATTACTTAGTACTATATATATGCTAAGCTTGATGCCATCAGAGACATATAATACAATTATATGTCTCTGATGCCATACACGTCGACGACAACTTATTATACTGTTTGCCTTTGAGGATGACGATATGCTTTATAAAACTGAAATGATAATGCAAAGTTCACTGAAGAATATCCACCCCGATTTCAGTCACATTAATTCTATTCATTCATTTATATTTTTCACTCGTGCTGACGAATCATTATTATGGTGCTCCTTTTTATAGGAGACAAATATCAATCACGATAAAAGATCTTTACTTATTATAATGGTGTTTATTTCCCCGGTACATAGGGATTCCTGAAGCTAAAAAATCAAAGGTCTTTTTCTCTTCATTACAGTTTTACTTTAAAATGCTTTTGATACTTTAAATAATCGAAGCAACGACCCTAAAATAAGGACGAGAAATCACATCAGTTTTCAATTTCACTGCAGTGTGCTAAATTTGTGTACCGCATAATTCTCACTTTTGAAAAGATTGATGGACAGTAATCCCTTTTTCATGTTGTTTTTTAGTCCGTTTACTGAGAGACACGTCTCTGATTAACTTTAAACGGCCAAATCAGAAAGTCGCTCCAGACTCAGAATCTCAAAAGGGATACGATGTTTGGATGGTAAATACTCTGGTGGTTAATCCTCAATCCTAACACTCCATTGCATGGAGAGCTTAAACTTTGAAAAATCAGTTTGAGGGATTCTTCTCTGTGGGATGAAAGGCCCCTCTGACAATATGACGTTTGGGTTGGGCCCTTATTTTTGTGGAAATTTAGGATTACACTTATTATGACTCGCTGATTAATGATTAGTTTTCAGGAATTGGGGAAAGATTGCTTTATTTTTTCGTGAATTCAGGATTCGTTGTTTATATTTCTGGGAATTTGGGATTACACATCCTCATACCCCAGGCAGACTTGACTTTGAATAGGTGTCAATTAAACGTGTACCCCTCTAATGGGGGCTGTTATTTGTTCAGTGCACAGCAAAATGTGTGGCCCCATCCAAGGTGTCCTTGTTTTCCAGTACCAGTCCAAATTTTCCGCCCTTTGCCCTTCGTCCTTGTCCACCCACTATGCATAGGGCTTCTTTCTTTTACATTTTTTTTATATATTAACTGAATATTATGAAATATTTGCTCCTTTTCGATATAAAGAAAATAGCAATGTTCCTAAAAGAGAAAAATTCAAACAAACATTTGGTCATATATTATATCATATAACAAAAGGACACTACTTAGTATTATTAATATGGATGGATGTGTTGATTCTTCCATTTGAGAATTGTAACATTAACTTTTTGTTTGCATCATCCAGAGACATATAATAATAAATAATTGTATTATATGTCTCTGCATGATCCTTCTTTTTTAGATTTAAAATTTGAATTATTTTTTCTTTCAGAAATATTGACTATAATTCTATACAGATGGATACTTTAATAGGTAACTTATATATAATTATATATATATCGAATTGTTAAAAGTCTTAAGTATAGACAAATATATTTAAATAAAAAAGTCCAATATTGACGGATAATGCATATATTATTTAATAATTGCATTATCCGGCAATATTGGACTTTTTTATTTAAATATATATGTATATATATATATATACATGTCATGCATGTACAAAATGTATAGAAGTTTTAACATGTTTAAGAACAACTAAAAAAGTTGACTTGTTTATACTTGGATTAAGTTGGATATACATGTATGTGTGAAGTTTGAATAATTGAAAAAACAGATGATTATATTTTAACAATTAAAATTGAGAATGGAAATGGGGAATGTGTCAAAGAGACAACTACCCGACCATAGAGCAGACAACAATTAGCATGCTTAGACAATTTGTAATGTGTTTACTGTGTAGCCCTCCCCCAAAATGTGTTTTTATTTCATAACAAATTTTTAAATGACTTTCACAGTTTATGTCTTTGATTATTCTTCATCAAACTTGGAACATAAACTAATACAGTGGTGGCCAATATCTAAGAGACAAAGTACATTAACTAATACAGTGGTGGCCAATATCTAAGAGACACAGTACATAAACTAATACAGTGGTGGCCAATATCTAAGAGACACAGTACATAAACTAATACAGTGGTGGCCAATATCTAAGAGACACAGTACATAAACTAATACAGTGGTGGCCAATATCTAAGAGACACAGAACATAAACTAATACAGTGGTGGCCAATATTTAAGAGACACAGTATATAAACTAATACAGTGGTGGCCAATATCTAAGAGACACAGTACATAAACTAATACAGTGGTGTCCAATATCTTAGAGACACAGTACATAAACTAATACAGTGGTGTCCAATATCTTAGAGACACAGTACATAAACTAATACAGTGGTGGCCAATATCTAACAGACACAGTATTAATCTGCTTTAATTTAAAAAGAAAAAAACATAATGTTAGAAGGTGAATATATATCATTGAAAAATCCTTACTAGGGTACTGAATTCCTATCATATTGTATACTTAAATTTTTTCGCTGTTCAAAATATGCTAGGTTGTTCTACTGGTATTTGATAATGACATAATCCCCAAACTGCAATAGAATGATTGGTAGGTTGGTAGATATGAAATAAACCTCAATTCATGCTTGCCCTGATTGTGGCAGGTAGTGGATTTTATCCCTGGCCATATCAAACTAATATGTCTGGGTAGGGTGACATGTCTTCCTGTGGACTGTTACCATGTAAACTAGCATATTAAATAATGGCTCATTGTATAAGTAATTAAGTTAAGTACAAAGCTCGGCAAATTCTATATAAATAACACATAGCTGAGAGGGTAATAGAGCAGATTGTTACCCCGAGAAAACATTGTCAACTGAGGCGAAGCCAAGGTTGACAATGTCTATTCGAGGAGTAACAATCTGCTCTATCACCCTCTCAGATATGTGTTATTTAATTTATTATACTGAATGTTCTGTTATTACTGTCAATAAAATTTCAAATTCAAAGTAATAAACTATGTCGTCTTGTACATAACAATCATCCATATTTATTAAAGCGCACAGTTGAGCAAGCGTCTCCGTGAAGGGTAATAGAGTATTTGCCATGGGATAGAGTAAATTGTCTCCCTTGTATTAACCAATAAAAATCTGGCATTTTGACATGAAGTATAATAATATATAATATTAACCTGAATTTTGCTGAATATACATGCAATAGTTACTGTTGGACATTAAACAGCCATCCATCAACATAGTGCAATGGAAAAGGTGTGAAGGAAGCATTAATGAGACAAAAACCCAACCAAAAAAGTCTGTTAAAATAGAGAAATCAAATATTTGTGATGTACTCAGTTTCAGTCAAGATCACTCTTGATGTTGACTAAGAGTTGCAACACTCAGATTTATGATCCTGTCAGGCAATAACTATGGAAAACATAAAGAATTATTTCCGAGTGAATTAATCACCCACAATCACCTATATATATTCACCATGCAAAATAACACACCTTGTGTGAACAAGTAATGAACATTTTAAATGCTGAAATATTTGTATATTTTGGCAGACTTTGCATATGATGATAAAAATTTTGAAGTGACAGATGAGATGAAGAAATGTTTTGATGAACAAGGATATTTATTATTGAGGTAAGTATATTGATGTAATAAAACTCTGTACAATGTCTTGTGTGAAATAAGAAATAATGGTTATGATTCCTGTAGATGGAAGAGAATATTACATTCCTGTTGTTTTCAGCTCCCATTTGCTCTGGGCATTAATTTTATGTATAGCTTAATGTGAATTATTGTCACTTTGTCTGCTTACCCTTCAGTCTACTGCTTTTAATGCAATGTCCTTTTTTACCCTTTTGAAAATCCTTGGAAAAATTCAATTGCTATGTATGAAACTTAGATGTCAATGAACATTTACAAATTATGGCTTTAGTTACATAATTAGAAATGTTATTTGTTAGTTAAGTATGACAAGTAATCTTAATTAGCAGCCTTGTCCTTGAAAAATTACTGTAAATTCAGAAATTATTGCGTGCATTTATTATTGCGATTTTGTCATTTTAGACTAAAACGCGATTTAAATTTTTGTGATATTAAGAAAAATCCTGTTTAATTCATATAAAAAATTTCAAAATGCGAGTTTAAATTATTGCGATTATAACCCTGTCACATTTTTCACAATAATAAAAACATCGCAATAATTTCTGAATTTACAGTACAAGGTTATGGAAAGGGAAATAACTCACTGTATTTCTAGTCATTTGTTGTTGAATTATATTTCATGAATGACCCTATATATATAAATAAATGTAATTTTTGTCGTTTTCATATGACAGCTGTTGTACAAATTCATTTAATCTGAAAAGAAAATAAGTTTTGTATGATTCTAATTTCTCAACAGATCTGATTTTTTTTTAAAACAATGGAACAATATCTGTTTTCAAGGATATTTTAACTTAAAACATCTTTGTTCTAGACTGTTAATTGACTTTGAACTTACCTCACATTTTATGCATTTGTCTATATAAAATTATTTTTTAGATTATGATTCATCCTTTCTATGAAGAGGGAGATACATAATTTTTTTGTGTTGATTTTCACAAAAATTGCTAGGTATTTTCATGAAATTAAAAAACCAAACTTAATAATGATATAGAGAAAAATGTATTGATGAAGATCAGAATTCAGAAATTGATGAATGTTGCATTATTCTGTACTTATAGAGGTTTGCTAAGTCCTGAAGAACTTAAAAAAGTGAGAAATGTACTTGAGAATACAGACATGATAAAAAAGCATGGATATGGAGTAAGTTTTTTAATTGATACAAAAACTGTATTTTGTCAAAACAATTTACATATAAAATCTTATATTCACTCACCTGCTACGCTTGTTGATTGTAAGTTTTTTCAAAAGTAAATAACACCACATATTTGACCCATCAAAAGAAACGAATTGTACATAATGGAATCCTCACAATTATTTGGAGTTATCTCCCCTAAATCAGGATTTTTAACAATTTTTACCTTTTATCTTCAAAACAATAATAGATAAATATACTCTGTAAATGCAAAAAATAATAAGCAAATGAAAGATCTACGAAAAAACAAAAGAATGAAATCGTCAGCCCCCTCCTTATAAGACTAATTGAACTAAAATGACAATTTTTTAACAAATTTTAATGAGTTTATATATCATTTTGAAATAATATAAATGATACATAGAAACTTTAACTAGCAAAAGAGATGAGTGTTGTAAGATCTACCATTACTTAAATATAATTCGGATGGTCATTCAACTCTTTACAGGATTTTTGCCCTGAGATAAATCAATCTGGAGCCACAAATCATTTAACTGATGGGAATCATCAAATGACTCCTTTTATGAGTTATTACCCTTAAATGATGATTACTCCTTTTATGAGTTATTACCCTTAAAGGATGATTTTTTTTTTACATATTATTTTATTTTGGCTATTATTCCAAATGGAGTGATACTGGCTCCTTTGAGCCTGTTATTCCAAATATATACTAGGGGTATACAAATAGTTCACTATTACAGAAATGTCAGTTGACTCCTTAGTCCTTATAAAAGTTATTGCCCTTAAATGACTATTTTAGCTGATATCTTGAAAAGCAAGAAAAGATCTACAAACATGTTCAAACATTTACATGAACAAAATCATAAATTGACTCATAGGAGTTATTAGCCATTTTTGCATTGTTGGATATTATCATAGAAACTAAAATATATATGTGTAGGACTCGGAGGTGCGATGGGGATGCTGAAGTGTGATGGTCACGCTGAAGCGGCTTGTCTACGCCGAAGTTAGATGGTCCTTTCGCTGAAGTGCAATGGTTTTGCATGACGTTAGGATATTGTGACGTTTTAAAATGCAACGTTATTAAATTGAATGGATTTACAGGCAGGAGAATAAGATTTGTAGATGAAGGTTTCATGTGTACAATAGAAAGGAAACAGAATAAAACAAACGATTCAAGTCCCAAACAGTTTTGAGCATTAGAGGTGGAGGTTACAAAAATATGTAAAACTAAGTCTAAGTGGGACAGCAAACCATGGGGAACAAGACGGCTAAAAGATGATCTTGGTCTGCAGATGGGCTAACCCGTGTTCGGAAGCATGTATAATGTATGCCGCAAACGTTTTGTACGACAAATAAAATGTCTTGATCTTAATATTAATTTTGACTTCTCTTCAAGTATACATCTTATAAGTGTGTGCGGACAACTTAACAATAAAATAAAATTAATTATTAGCAATGTTTACGTTATATATCCGAATGGTCCCACTTTGGTGTACTTCTCAATATGAGTCAAGCATAAATGTACTTGGTAGTTTTTATTTCTAAAAAACTGTTATGATATGAGATAAATAGATGAGATGACTGAGTGTTGTGAGCAATTTCTTTGCTATTACATGACAAGAACAAGTTACTAGACTGAGTATATTTGATAAAATTATATGTATCCCACTTAGTTAGTACTATAGACCGCTGCGCTGAACCCATTTTTTTTATCACACTTGAACACTCAATATAAAGACATGTCCTCCAACTAGAATCCATTATACTTAATCTGAGCCATCCAGTCTATTTTATGACTCCATACTGGTGTGTGCTAAGCGAATAGTTAGCAAATTAAAAATTAAAGTCTTTGGGTTGACCTGACTAGAAATAAAACCCGATCTTCCAAATGCAAGGCTAGCACGCTAACCACTACACCGCCACATTAAATGGGGTTTTAACTTCAGACCATCGCATTTAGCTAGTAAACACGTCACAGTTAGACCATCGCATTTCAGAGTACCCACCAAACGGGCTTCAGCATATCTAACAACAAGTTAGCGTCACAATGACACCATCGCGGTTCAGAGTTTTACATATGTAAGACTCACATTCATGGCCGGTTTCAAATAAATGGCATATTCCAAATCTATGGTGAATATGACATCATATCATGCCTTCCCAAATCTATGGCAGATTTTTAAGAATCCCAATCTAGGGCAATTTTTCTTGTTTCCTAATCCATGGCAGATTTTATTGTTTCCTAAAAAATGGCAAATTTTCTGCAAATGGAGGACCAGTCAGAACATATCTGGCATTGACTTGCCTTAAACAAGTGTCTTTCTCAAGAAATCTCATTTATTCAACAGTATTATTATGTGTTTGACATAAACATAGCTGAACATGATGTATATAGTATAATCTATGACAGTTTCCAAATCTCAAGACAGATTATTTGGTACAATAGTACAGGTATAGTCGCTGTAATATAGCTGAAAATGCAGTAGATTTTGTTAAAAAATTTAAGAGTACAATAGGTAAAAATTATAAAAAAAAAAAACCAACATAGCATAACAAAAAATTATGAAAGAAAAGCAAAACAAATACCAAAGTCACAGTAAAAACTTGTTCAATCAAGGGACAAGGCACCACCAAGAACACAGACAAGGACAAGAAAAGACGGAGCAGAAACAAACACAAAACACAAACATCAAAAACACTGAAAACAAAAGGATAAACAATGCGAATTATCATAAAAACGGAGAGTGAATTCAGGTGCTCCAGAAGAGTAAGCACGTCCTGTTCCACATACGGCATCCGTCGCAATGTCCAAAGCTAACGAAAAAGCCTGTAGTAAGTAAAAAGTCAGCATAAGAAAAATGGATAAGGAGTGCAGCAACGGAAACATATCAATAACCATTTGCGAAACTATAAGGGTCCTTGGAAACTGGCCTTTTCTTTTCATTCTGGATATAACAAAAATGTCATCTGGAACGGTATTTGAATATATGTGTTCTGTCATCTTTAGCGGCGGCAACGACATAATTTGATGTTAGTTATTTGTGACGTTATAGTTTACTATTTTCCCTGGAAAATTACGCAATAATCAAAACCTGCCATAGATTTGGAGAAAACAAAAAATTGCCATAGATTTATGATTTGTATGGCATTTGTGATGTCATATTTGCCATAGATTTGAAATCTGCCATAGATCTGGAACCCACCATAGATTTGAGTCTTACATATATATAAAACATGTAAACAGAAAAATGAAACTTTGTATTATATATCCAGGTGAGTGATTCAGGCGACTTGAAGACTCTTTTTAGAAATATATATTCATTAGGAGACAATTCAAACTCAACTAATGACATTTACAAGTCTCTGTTTCATTTGAATAACCAAAGTCTTAAGAACAAGTTCTACAACAGTCATGACAGTAAGAGACCTTTTAACCAAGTTACATGTATATCCCTTTGAATACTTGAAAAAGAGAGCTTCCAACAAAGATTTTGAATAAAAGGCTAATAAAGAAATTTAATGTTATAATGTCCATGTATGTGCTGTGATTAAGTAGGATTAACTGTCTCCCATTATCAATGATGCTTTGATTATACATTTAAAAAAGTCAATCTTAGACAGGATGTATTATGGTTTACTATTGGCTGTTTGTCCACAATTTGAACTATTCAATTATTTTTTGCAACAATTCCAGTATTTGCAAGACAGGTGTATCAGGCGCTCCTGGTGCAGCTATTTATTTTGTTTCAGATAAGAATGGTTTTGTTATATGGTTTATCGATTGTCTCTACTTTATATTTCAGATACCAGATGCTTCAGGTAGAATGCCCAGAATGGTGTTATGGCGAGCCCCGGGGAGTGATGTTACAGGAATGATCTGTCGATGTGAAAAGGTTGTTACTACTTCAGAAAAAGTAAGAACTCAGTCTTGTATGAAATCAAGTGTGTGATTATTTAAGTAATGAGTGGAAAAAGACATAACACATGTGTGGTACAAACTTGTCCAATAAAGCTTCCTTTCTTTCAAAGGAACCTTTCCTGTAAGTGCTTTGTTGGTCACCTGCAGTTCTTAATCTTATTCCGAATGTCTTAGAATTCAATCTGATATTTTAATTTTAGTATGTGCTGAAAGAAACATCTGAATTGAAACTACAAATTTTATGATACAATGTTTTAGTGAAAAATAAATGTCACATGTGAATTTAAATTATGCTTTTGGAATCTGTAAATTTATACACGAGTATTATAAACGTATTTATATTAGCTTTTAGGAGGTGAGGTTTACCACTATAGTTCTAAAGTAATGATGAAAGATCCAATGGTTGGAGGCAGACAAGAGTGGCATCAAGATTATGGGTGAATATATATGATAGATAGTTGTACAAATGTCCAATAGGAGTATTTGTGGTATGGTAACTGCAGCATATTTCCCTGATTAATGGAACAGGGAAAAAATCAAACAGTAAAACCTGTATAAACTGGGTGGTTCTGTATATTTAGGTTTCTAGATTAACAGCAAGTTATTGACTTGTGACATAAGATATTTTGTATACAACAGGTCTGTCACATTTAAACTATAAGCTAATAAAAACATGCTTAAATATGTCTTAATGAAAGGTTATGTCATGATTAACGTAAAACTATTTTTACATGAACATGTGTTCCCTGTTTTTTTGTTATTTGGTTTCACAGGATAGTGACTTCATTAATAGTTTTTATATGACCGCAAAAAATTTTTTGCTTCGTATAATGCTATGGTGTCGTCGTCTGTGTTGGCGTCATCCGAAGACACATTTGGTTTCCGGACAATAACTTTAGTTTAAGTGAATGGATCTGTAAGAAATTTTACCAGAAGGTTTAATACCACAAAAGGAAGGTTGGGATTGATTTTGGGGGTTATGGTACCAACATTTTAGGAATTAGGGGCCAAAAACAAGCATTTTTGTAGTTTCCGGACAATAACTTGTGTGTTAGTGTATAGATCTCTCAGAAATTGTACCACAAGGTTCCATATCCCAAAAGGGAAGGCTGGGATTGAGTTTGGGGGTAATTGCCCCAATGATTCAGGGAATTAGGGCCAAAAAAGGGGCCAAAAACAAGCATTTTTCTAGTTTCCAGACAGTAACTTGTGTTTGAGTGTATGGATTTTTTTTTCCAATTTTTTTGGGGGGTTCATATTTTTTTTCTTCAAAATTTTTGAAATTTCAAATGATTGCACAGTATTGCGCAATAGCAAGAAATCTTCAATTGCACAGAATTGCGCAATAGCACAGTATTGTTCAATACCACAGTATTGGGCAATAGCAAGAAATCTTCAATCCCCTCATTCAGCTTCTCTTCCACTTTGAATTTCGTGTCCAAATCCTTGCATTGTTGAAATTGTTCAACTAGAGTTTCCTTTTCCACTCTCCATCTTATGTTTCCATCATTGGTATAGCCAATTCAATAGCAAACATTTCATCGAACAAAATTCCATTATGGTGGAAACATTATTGTACCATATTTATCACAGACAGTGAAATGTCACCATCTTGGTCATCATATTATCAAGGTAATGGGTAAGGAGGTTCGCAATGGAGAACCCAGCATTTCATAAACACGATGTAATTGTCTCACTCCACGATTTAAATGTATTTTTTTCTTTCTGATACATTTTTGGCAACGGTTTGTTCAAATAATTTGGTGTACATTAAGATTCCATATTGTTAGTTTGAGTTTACGTATCATAATGACAACTTAATTGTGTTTGCAAATGAATTCACAACTTTAAGTTCAGGGTTAAACACATGGTTGATAAACCATCAAATTCTGGATCTGCACCTAGCATTTATAGTGTAACTACTGGTACAAGAATGGACAACTGTTCCGTAATTTTCTTTATCTATTTATTTTGTAATTACTAGTAGACTACTGTTCCCTGATGCTCTCAGTGTATTTACTCTATACATATTTATTTTGTAGATACTGGTACAAGAATGGACTTCTGTATCCTGATGCTCTCAGTGTATTTATTCCAGTTGACAGATGTAATAAAGCAAATGGTTGTCTTCAGGTACCCATTGATTTTCCAAATCTAGTAGATATTTTTCTGTATGTTATGATTATATACATGTTTGCATGAACTCATTGGGACCAGCGTTAGTAAAGTAGAATGTACTCTATAGGATAATAGGTGACTCAAGTACCGGCATGATGTAAAAACAATGAATCAAAGAATTCAACTTTATATATCACTAATATAGGGCAATGGTGTTGTTCAACAAAATTAATATTTCCAATGATTAACAAGTTCTGGGTCGAATCCAATACTGAAACCAATAGTATATGTCACATTTAGTTTCCAGTTGTAGTTAGTTACCTATTACCTTCTGTAAATCCCTCCTCTATCAGGAGAACCTAGAATTCTTCCAGTAGTTGATTTATATCTATGTTACACTATAGTACACTATTTAACAAGTCTGTTTTCTTCCACCTCCATACCACTATAAATTTTGGTTAATTAGTTAAATAATTAAATTCAGTTTAAAGTAAGTTTATTGTAGTAAGAAAACCAGGATGGGTTCAAACAGAAAGATTTTGAAAGCATGAGAAAACTGTGCTACTTATAATCAGCCTGACTTTATAAGATGAAAATACGAATATTAAAAATCCAGGCTAAAAATAAGGCATAAGTACTTTAATTCAGTCACAGACCAGTGATGTCGCATATGTTTTCTAGTATCTCTTTATAAGGTAAAAATTGTATTTCTTTAAAAGTTAACACCTTTAAAACCATATTTTTTAAAATATATTTTGATGACAAAAGTTATGTAGTTTTAATTGGAGTAAAGATTGCATGAAATTCAATCAAAACCTGATAGTCACTGGCAATTTTGCTGCAATTTTTATTCACGATTTTCCTCCACATATAGGAGAATATCTAAATTTATTAAAATGGTGACTATTTATATTTTTATACGACCGCAAAAAAAAATTGCGATCGTATATTGGTATGACTTTGGCTTCGTCGTCGTTGTCATCGTCTGAAGACACATTGGTTTTCGCACTCTAACTTTAGTTTAAGTGAATGGATCTCTATGAAATTTTACCATTAGGTTCAATACCACAAAAGGAAGGTTGGGATTGATTTTGGGGGTTATGGTACCAACAGTTAAGGAATTAGGGGCCAAAAAGGGGCCAAAAATAAGCATTTTTGTAACTTCCAGACATAACTTGTGTGTTAGTGTATGGATCTCTCTGACATTGTACCACAAGGTTCCATATCACAAAGGGAATGCTGGGATTGATTTTGGGGGTAATTGCCTCAAAATTTTAGGAATTAGGGGCAAAAAAAGGGGCAAAAAACAAGCATTTTTATATGGACAAATACTTTAGTACAAAACATAATTGAAAGCAGTGTAAGGGAGATAAATCAAATACATCATTTGAATTACCTCCCTCACACTGCTTTTAAATTATGTATAAAGTAATGGTTAATGAACAATTAAGACAATTTAAAACAGTGTAAGGGAGGTAATCCACATACAACTTTTTGAATACTTCCCTTACACTGCTTTTAAATTATGTTTAAAGAAATGCATATTTATAAAGGAAGACCAGTAATAATATCTGCAAATGTTGCATCTTTTTTTTTTTACAAAAAAATCCATATGAAAGATTTGACACCATATTTTAAATTCTATTATAAAATAGATTAAGTTAGCACTATGGTAAATTTAAATGGGTAATTATGGTTGCAAATTCCATTGGAAATTTGAATTGAGATTATGACCATATCTTGAGGGAAAGAATTTTTTGGGGGATAAAAAGAAATTGTGGGGGGTCAATTTTTTCTCATTTCAGATTTCAGAAATTAAAAAGATTTATTCTTCAAATATTATTTTTTTTTCAAATTTCAAATATTGAAAAATTTCAAGAAGTAATCTTTAATTGCACAGTTTGGCGCATTAGATTTGTAGAATCTTTGACCACATTTATTTATTTGTTATGCCAAATCTGACCGTGTATTTAGATTTTTAATTTTGGGTTCAGTTTTCAAATTGGTCTACATTAAGGTCCAAAGGGTTCAAAATTAAACTTATTTTGATTTTAACAAAAATTGAATATATGGGGTTCTTTGATATGCTGAATCTTAACATGTATTTAAATTTTTGATTTCGGGCCCAGTTTTCAAATTGGTCCAAATTGGGGTCCAAAATTAAACTTTGTTTGATTTCAACAAAAATTGAATATATGGGGTTCTTTGATATGCTGAATCTAAACATGTATTTAGAGTTTTGATTTTGGGCCCAGTTTTCAAGTTGGTCCAAATTGGGGTCCAAAATTAAACTTTGTTTGATTTCAACAAAAATTGAATATATGGGGTTCTTTGATATGCTGAATCTAAACATGTATTTAGATTTTTATTTGGGGGCCCCGCTATCAAATTGGTTCATATTGAGGTCAAAAGGGTCCAAAATTAGACTTTGTTTTATTTCATCAAAAATTGAATTATTGGGGCTCTTTGATATGCCAAAACTAACCGTGTATTTAGATTTTTAATTTTTGGTCCCGTTTTTTAAATTGGTCTACATTAAGGTCCAAAGGGTCCAAAATTAAACTTAGTTTGATTTTAACAAAAATTGAATTCTTGGGGTTCTTTGATATGCTGAATCTAAACATGTGTTTAGATTTTTTATTATGGGCCCAGTTTTCAAGTTGGTCCAAGTTGGGGTCCAAAATTAAACTTTGTTTGATTTCAACAAAAATTGAATATATGGGGTTCTTTGATATGCTGAATCTAACCATATATTTTGATTTTTGGGCCCCGTTATCAAATTGGTCCACATTGAGGTCAAAAGGGTCCAAAATTAAACTTTGTTTGATTTCATCAAAAATTGAATTCTTTGGATTCTTTGATATGCTGAATCTAACCATGTATCTAGATTTTGGATATTGGACCATAATAGGTAAATTAAAAAATTTTAAGCTCTTAGACCACATTCATTCTGTGTCAGAAACCTATGCTGTGTCAAATATTTAATCACAATCCAAATTCAGAGCTGTATCAAACTTGAATGTTGTGTCCATACTTGCCCCAACTGTTCAGGGTTCAACCTCTGCGGTCGTATCAAGCTGCGCCCAGCGGAGCATTTTATTCTACTTGTCAAAGTCGCTAGAATAAATTGTTCACAAATATTAGTTGGTTTACAGTATCTGTTCTAAAAACAGGTTGAACTGCAATTTTGGACAAAGGAAGATAACTCAAATTCAAAATATTACCTAAATGTGATCCATCGTTTAATACAATTCAATGTCATAATTTTAAGTTCACATTTCAAAATCAAAGCAATCTTTACCCTTCAGTGCTTGCATTCACTTTGTTAAAAGTATCCAAAGTCTCCCTGTCCTCTTTACATCAATGAATTGATGTCAGCTATACTTAAATTATTTCTTCATTATGTTGAATTAAGTTTTTTTAGCTGACTTCCATTCAATGGTTAAAACAGGCAATGTTTATATGTTGGTTTACAGTATGGTCTTTGTATTAGGTTTAACCATGATTTCATATCCCTGGTTATACATGTATATGGTATATTACATAGTATTGTCTTTGATTTAGATTTTACCGGGATCTCATGTCTGTGGTCGTATAGAACATGGTATGGTCGCTGGGCAAACTGGGGCTGATTTAGAACGTGTCAAAGAACTGGAACAAAAACTTCCAAAACATTATGTGGAAATGGAAGCAGGTTTGACCTTTTCATAAATCATTTTGAATGAATCCTACATTAATGATATCAGCATTACAAATTAAACTCATACAAAAGCATGGACCCAGTTTCATTCTGAATTTTCTTCATATGTTTTAAAGAATTCCCTTCAGTTGAATTGAGAGGAGACATCCATATAAAGCATGTGTGTGCACACAGTATTTTGTATTGTCTTGTAACTTACAAGTATGATTTTATTACAAACAGTAAGCAGTGCAATATATAATGTTTACTTTTGTAGATATCATCTTGTCTTATATTGAAACATGTGTTATTAATAATTTTTGTGGACTGTATATGTTATGAAGACACACATATTACCACAGGCTGCTGGCAATCATCTTTATAACAATAAATAAAAATTTAACCCTAATTTAAAAAAAAATATGGGATAAATGTCAGTTTCAAAAATTTAATGTTGCATCGCATATTTAAATTACCAAGATCAATTCTTATGGCTCTTTTTGTTTGTAGGTGATGCTCTATTTTTCCATTCCAATGTCCTTCACTGCAGTGATCCGAATGATAGTCAAAACAGACGTTGGGCCTTCATAATGGCCTATAATATGGCCAGCAATGATCCTGTAGAAAGTTTAGCAGCTCCATTCCCAAGATACACAAAACTGGAAAAAGTAAGTAAAAATACAATCTGAAACTTTGTGGGGGTGGTTTCTAATACAGATTGGGGAATTGAAAACCTAGATACGTAATTATTATAAACAGAATTTATCATGTTATATTGATCATTTTAAACATGCATGAAATATTTTCCACTGGACTTTAAGCATCCAACAATTAATCAACCAATCATGTTATATTGATATTTAGCATTTAGGATACCCTCAGTAATGATTATTATAAATATTACACTTAGTAAACATCAAAGAAAAATAAACTTATTGATTTTATTTTTTGTTTTTTTTAGGTACCTAACTCAGCTATCTTGGAATGTACAAATGAAACAGACTTTAGTGGGAAAAATTTCTTAGATCCAACAGAAGATAAAACTGTGAAAGCTGACTTGTCTAGACCCACCAATGCTACCAAGGCATATTGATGTGCTGATTGTTAAATTATCTAGGCAAACAAGTGGGACATAGCAATAAAGGTTGTAAAATAGGATTTCTTAAATTTAATTTGACAAAAGAGGGAATAAATCTATAATGTAGAGGTTTATGTTTCTATACATTTATATTCATTTTACACCGTGGATTCATTTTTTTCGTGGATATTTGATTTTGTGGTTTTGCAAAAGTTTGTATACAAGCCTATAGAAAATATATACTTTGTTGAACTTTTAAAGTCGTTGTTTCCCTATACCCACGAAATCAAGGAAAATTTGTACCCCACGAATAATTATGAATCACCCCACGAATAATTATGAATCACCCCACGAATAATTATGAATCACCCCACGAATAATTACGAATCCACAGTATACTGAAATTGTTACTTATTTTGTTCCCTTGAGAACAAAGTTTTTATAGAAGTACTGCATTCAAATAGGAGTTAGCTTATGTGTCTATCACTAATCCTGTACGGGTAATGACATTTCATGCTCATGATCATGATCTTACCTTCGATCCAAAATTGTGCATATTTAAGACCAAGACTGCACCTGATACATTTATTTAAACATTGTGTGGACCATATCCTTGTTTTGTTTGCTTAGATTCAAGAAATATGCACAAAATTGTTCATGGCTAGGAATATATAATGACCTTAACTGAAGACTACAGCTAATACATACATTAAATTGGTGTTCTAGTAATATCTTTACTATCTGAATGGTTCAAATTATACTGAGGACAATTTCTCCAAAGAACAAATGGAATGCTACTGAAACACTAGAAATCAGCTTTCATTGAATTTATTATTTATTACATAATTCTATTGTAAACATCTTATAACTATTGAACTTTTAAAAATATATTTTATAATAAAATGTTTTATAAATATAGTGCTATAATTCTTAGGGAAACAGTGCTATTTCAAATCCCAAGGTGCTATTTGAAAATGATAGGATGGAGACTATTAAAATTCTGAAAAAAACAGTAATCAGTAAGTTAATAAGGCCCTGTTTAGTGAAGTTGGAGTGTATAGTATTTGTTTTGTCTCTTTAATTGTATGTTTTTTTCATTCATATGTAGGCCATTTGTATCCACAATGTCCCCCTTTGTATCCACAATGTCTTCTTTTGTATCTACAATGTCTTCCTTTGTATCCACAATGTCCCCCTTTGTATCCACAATGTCCCCCTTTGTATCCACAATGTTCCCCTTTGTATCCACAATATCTCCTTAACAAAGGGTATGATTTTATAATAAAATGCTCAGTATCTGATGGCTTTGTGGTACTATTTTATTTTCATCCAAATGATTACTTGGGTTAACATTGCAAAACACAAGACTTAGTCATAAAGATAAAAGGAGAGAACTGGTTTTAAGCTCACCTGGCCCTAGCTTTTCTCATCACTTGGCGTCCGTCGTCATCGTCATTGTTAACTTTTTACATTTTGAACTTCTTCTAGAGAACCACTGAATGGAATGAAACCAAACATGGCATGAATGTTCCTTATGAAGTGCTGACCAAGTGTTGTTACTTTTTAGCCGATCCATCATCCAAGATGGCCGCCAGCAGGGGACTTCGTTTAACATAGGACCCTATGGACAATACATACAAATGTCTTCTTTTAGAGAACCACTGAATGGAATGAAACCAAACATGGCATGAATGTTTATTATGAGGTGCTGACTAAGTGTTGTTACTTTGAAGCCGATCCATCATCCAAGATGGCCGCCAGCGGGGGACTTCGTTTAACGTAGGACCCTTTGGAAAATACATACAAATGTCTTCTTTTAGAGAACAACTGAATGGAATGAATCCAAACATGGCATGAATGTTCATTATGAGGTGCTGACCAAGTGTTGTTACTTTGAAGCTGATCCATCATCCAAGATGGCCGCCAGCAGGGGACTTTGTTTAACAAAGGAGACTATGGGAAATATATACAATATCTTCTTTTGATGAACCACTGAATGTAATGAAACCAAACATGGCATGAATATTCCTTATGAGGTGCTGACCAAGTGTTGTTACTTTGTAGCAAATCCATCAACCAAGATGGCTGCCAATGGGGGACTTAGTTTAACAAAGGAGCTTATGGGAAATATATACAAATGTCTTCTTCTAGAAAACCGCTTAATGGATTGAAACCAAACATGGTATGAATGTTTCTTTTGAGGTGCTGACTAAGTGTTGTTACTTTGTAGCTGATTTGTCATCCAAGATGGCTGCCAGCAGGGGAGAGTAAGTTTAACATAGGACCCTATGGGAAATACATACAAATGTTTTCTTCTAGAGAACCAATGAATAGAATGAAACCAAACATGGCATGAATGTTCCTAATGAGGTGCTGACCAAGTGTTGTTACTTTGTAGCTGACCCATCATCCAAGATGGCTTCCAGCAGGGGATTTAGTTTAACATAAGACCCTATTGTAAATACATACAAATGCTTCTTCTAGAGGTGCACTGAATGGAATGAAACCAAACATGGCATAAATGTTCCTTATGAGGTGCTGATGAAGTGTTGCTACTTTGTTGCCGATTTACTGTTCAAGATGGCCACCAGGATTTTTTATTAAATTATGGGGCCAATATTAAACCAAGTTTGGCCTCAATCATTATTAGGGTATCTGTTATGATTTTAATCTATTTTTACATGATTTCCAAAACCAAAGTAGAATCAGGTGAGCGACACAGGCTCTTGAGAGCCTCTAGTTTATTTATATGATAAGTTTTTTAATTGAATGAGTATATTTGTCTCAATATTATAACAAATGGGGAATATTATGCCATTAAATGATTGTTATATTTTTATATATTGATAATTTCTGATTATTGTAATGTATTTGTTATCGTTAATGAATTTTATGTAAAACTACAAAAAAAAATGTATATCAAGATTATGTGCAATAAATATATAGTTATAATATTTATGACTAGTTTTTTTTAATTAAATTGTGTGATTCTATAAATTTTTCAAAAAATGAAAATAAATAAAACAAATTAAAACAGCAATGATTTAAAACAAATCTTGATCTTGTATGTTATTGTAAAAAATAGTTTGTTTTTGATAAAACTAGAAAAGTTTTTTTTCCCAAATGAAGAAAAATAACCCATCCCCTTAAAAAAAGATGAATGGTTGGTGCTTAACACAAGCTAGGTAACTGTCAACAAGAAGAAATGTTGCCCTACCTTAATACTTGATACTGGGTAGTCTTTTCACAAGCTAGGTTACTGTCAACAGGAAGAAATGTCGCCCTACCTGAATACTTGATACTGGGTAGTCTTTTCACAAGCTAGGTAACTGTCAACAGGAAGAAATGTCGCCCTACCTGAGTACTTGATACTGGGTAGTCTTTTCACAAGCTAGGTAACTGTCGCCCTACCTGAATACTTGATACTCGATAGTCATTTCACAAGCTAGGTAGGTAACTGTCAACAGGAAGAAATGTCGCCCTACCTGAATACTTGATACTGGGTAGTCTTTTCACTAACACTAATTTGGAGGTGCTTAGTGGAGATGTAGATATTACCAATTTTACAGTCTTCACATCAAAGACACAACTTTATGCATGTGAGTTAAGTACATTACCAAGGAACATACGAGGCAGTTGAACAAAGTACATTACCAAGGAACAAACGAGGCAGTTGAACAGAGTATATTACTAAGGAACAAACGAGGCAGTTGAACAGAGTATATTACCAAGGAACAAACGAGGCGGTTGAACAAAGTACATTACCAAGGAAAAAACAAGGCAGTTGAACGTAGTACATTACCAAGGAACAAACGAGGCAGTTGAACAAGGTACATTACCAAGGAACAAACGAGGCAGTTGAACATACTGGTGTGACACAGATATAATAGATAAAATGTAATTACCATAAACTTTCACAATGAAGAAGAGGCAAAAAAGTAACTTAAAACACATTACCACAAAGATATCTTGCACATATAGGAAACAGACGTAACAAAAAATGTGTCAAACATGTAATTGCAAATATGTTGTGCACATATAGACAACAGACATAACAAAAGATGTGTCAAATATGTAATTGCAAATATGTTGTGCACATATAGACAACAGACATAACAAAAGATGTGTCAAACATGTAATTGCAAATATGTTGTGCACATATAGACAACAGACATAACAAAAGATGTGTCGAAAACAAAATCGCAAATATGTTGTGCACGTATAGACATAAAATAAAAGATGAGTAAAACAACAAACAACTCAAAAAGAACACTTAATCACAGATATCATGCACAAATAGACAACAGACATGACAAAAGATGTTTCAAACATGTAATCCCAAATATGTTGTGCACACATAGACAACAGACAAAAAAAAGATGAGTAAAACAACAAACAATACAAAAGGTGTGCCAAACACACAATCACAGATATTGTGCACAAATACACAACATACATAACAAAAGATGTGTCAAAAACGAAATCGCAGATATGTTGTGCACATATAGACAACAGACAATAAAAGATGAGTAAAACAACAAACAATACAAAAAGAATACATAATCACAGATATCGTGCACAAATAGACAACAGACATTACAAAAGATGTGTCAAAAACGAAATCGCAGATATGTTGTGCACATATAGACAACAGACAATAAAAGATGAGTAAAACAACAAACAATACAAAGGATGTGCCAAACACATAATCACGATATCGTGCACAAATAGACAACAGTCATAACGATAGATGTGTCAATCACTAAATAAAAAAGATATCACGCACATAAAGACAACAGACACATGATCACAAAGATATCGTTGACATATAAACAACAGATATTACAAAAGATGTGTCAAACACATAATCACAAAAATTATTTGGAAAAATATTTACAACATTATTATCAATATTGTATATGGTATCTTCGAAGAAGTATCTTATTAAGTGGTTTATTCCTTTTGTTATTTATTTGTGTACTGCAGCTTAGTCATTTTGATAAGTGTCTTATTTGTGTGTGTTATTTTTCTTGATACAATGAACATTCGGATTTTTTAGATTTCACCATTCATGTACTAGTTTTAATGTTCATGTACATGTTTTAATGTATTACCATAGTATACCAAAACAACAAAACACATCTAGAATATTAATAATATTTATTTATTATATTTATTATAATTATATTCAACAGTTTATGCATACATGTAATAAATATAATGAATAATAAATAATAATAAATAAGCTTTATTTAGAGTCGGCAAAGTATACTTTTAACCGACATACAAGACATTTATAACAATAAAACACATAATACACATGCAATAAATTACACAGCACAAAATGAAGCACTAGAAGCATGGTTGTAATAAGCATGATGAGCTAGGTATTAAAGCTAAAAGCATATAAATATGAACACAAAGTTTAAATACTGTAATTATAACATAACATATAACATATATACAGACAGCAAGCACTATAAGTTCTAACAAATTAATGTCACTTAGGTGGTGGTCCGTATACACTTGCACATTCCTTAAGTACAATGTAGTCTGGACGCGGAGATGCTGTTGTTACAGTACTCGTCCCACAAAGCAAAAAGACGGCCCTGGGTCTGTCTACTCTGCTTACGCTGGTACCTTTGTAGCTTGCCTTCAGACACTAACTTTAGCTGCAGAGGAATATCGTTACAATAGGTATAATGGGTTTTAATTGCATTTATAAGTGGATTTCTTATATTACTATTTATTTGGCAATAATGAAAAGTTTCCCTTTACTCCTTTATGTACAAATGCTATTAGCTCTATCTGAGATTGGCTCCAGTATGGAAATGAAAAGTATGCAAGGAGAATTTGGGTTATAATAATTTATAATAATTAAAAATATAAAAAAAGCCACTTACCACTGTTGCATGTTCTATGTTGCCACTTTTGACAGCCATCACATTGTAAAGCTTCTTGTCTAGGGCGCAAAACATTGTGGCACTGTATACAACTGTCGTCTGACATTGTGTTACAAAAAACAAAAAGTGTTTACCTTTATATATGTTTATGGGTATTTACTCATTATGGCTTGCACACGCTGTTATGTTTATGGCTTTAAATATTAAAACAATAAAATATAGTTTTCAGGTATTGTGTTGTCTTAACAGATGTAAAGATCAAACGAGAACACAAGCTGCATGCAAACACAAGCTATACACTTTTGATCTCTGTTGAGGAATTATCAGATTTATACATAAAATACTGATTAATGCATAACTACAATTAATTATGATTTAATTAAATAATGTTTATTCAAACAACAACATATCTAACAATCAATTATGATTTAATTAAATGATGTTTATTCATACATACATACATAATCATTTAGGGTTTAATTAAATGATGATTATTTTTTTTGTAATGCAAATTTTACCTACGAATTTACTGCAACAATTCTTTAAATTTTCCTAATATATATTTTTAAAAACGAGGTGCCGAATTGTCTTGGTCCCGAAATGTCCAAAATGGATGCCGAAATGTCTTCGGACTTGGGTGCCGAAATGTCTTGTTACCGGGCAAGCAGATCCTGCTGCACATGTGGCACCCGTCGTGTTGCTCATGTTAGTACAAACCCGGTGATGAGTCTAATTCGGTAGGTCACATTCGGGGAAAAGGGGATGGGATTTTAATTACGGCAATTGGAACATATCCGTTGTCATTTGTGAAACGGATATTCCATAACGGTCAACCAACTCGTGATGGCCTCTGTAACATTAACGAAGGGACGATTTCAACTTCACCACTTGGAAATCTTGGTTTAATAGCTTCCTTGTGAGCAGCAACGCTCTATCAAGGAAATCATGATAGGACATACAAGCCTTCGAATATTGTATCATCTTGGAGATATATACTCCGTATGCAGGCGCTGCTGAAATGTTGCTACATAGAAATGGAAAGTTCACAATTAGGAAGCTGAAATCATCTCTGTTGTCGTAAAGTTTTGTTTTCAAGCGACCATTATTGTCAATTTTCAGATGTAAGTCAAGATATGAGGCAGACTTAACTGTCTCTGTTATTTCTGGAACATGTAAACAACAGACAATACAAAATATGTGTCAAAAACATAATCACGAGGATACAATGTAAAGATTGTGTCAAAATATATACACAAACTAGAACGCATACTAATCGACTGGCATCGTTTTGCGACCTAAAATAACTTTGATACAAGCCCCTGTGACCCAGTGGCTATCGTTGGTTTTGGTGTATGTCATATTTGATTTTCGTTCATTGTTGATGTATAACGTCGAATTCAGTAAAAGTAATTTCCGATGGATAAATTTCATTTGAATTTTAGGATAAGTTTACATTGTATACACATATATAAATAAACGGAATAATTGACTCTTACTCAAGGCCATATGTTGAAGTATTGAATCTCTGTCAATTGTGGAAATTATGTCAGCACATCGTGTAATTATCTATGAGTTATATAAGGCTGTATGGTGTATTAGTCCAACTTATTTGATATTTATAATTTAAAACCTTTGACATGATGCTTTTTTTATGGTACACATTCCCTCATTGAAAGATTTATAGACTGATAATGTGTAATGTCGTAATAATATTTTTTGTGTGATTTTGTTGTTGTTGAAAGAAAGGAGCCAGTAGTTCAGTGGTTGTCGTTGGTTCATGTCTGTCATGTTTGTTTTTCTCAATTGAATTGTTTCATATTTTTCATGCCGGGGCCTTTTATAGCCGCCTGTACAGTATGGGTTTTTCTCATTGTTGAAGGTCGTACGGTTGCCTATAATTGCTTACATCCACTTTATTTGAACTTTTGTGGATAGTTGTCTCATTGGCAATCATACCTCATCTCCTTTTTATATTGTGTTTTTTTTTTACGTTATCGGTTTTAAACCAGAAATGACCAGTGGCCGTCTTCTCTAATACGTTCAAATTCAAATTAT